AGAAAAATGTTTTGCATCCTTATGTTGAGAACGGGAGCAGATTCGTTCCCGAAACGTCCAGAGAAACGAGGAGAGAAAATCTCGAAAAATCAAGTAAAATGACTTTATCGAAGAAATCAGAAAGCACTACGATAAGGAAATAGAAATAATCAAATAAATCAAAACGTTCTAATGAGTCGTAATTTGTGATTCCAAAAGTGACAAAAACTCATCTGATTCATACACATATAAAGAACAAAGTGAAAGAAGAAGATAACTCCCCTGACTTTGTATGAATCAGATATGACCCAGATACACAAATTTTTGTGAGATATTTATCAAGGTATGAGAGATATTCCAGATTATAGATATTACTCAAAAATATGGATGTTATAAGGCTTACAAGGATAATTATGATACCAAAAAAACTTTTTTCAAATTAGTTGCCTTATACACGAAAAAGTTGATTCAGTTGATTCAAAGGTGTTGAGTATCTGATGTCAAGGCATAATACTCGCTAATTCGGAATTCAAAAAACTCACACCGAAACACGTTGGTTTGGGAATAATGATTCATCAAGAGACATGATCGAAAAAAATTATGTTCTTGTGGACACTGTATCGTATTTACGTGTATTTACAACTTCGCAATTCGATAGGTATCAAATAATGTTTTTTTCAAATTTCCACAAGGATATCTTATTTTTATTTCAATATTATATGAATCATATTTTGTTTCAATATTTGTCAATTTGTTTATAAATGAGATGGTTGGCATTCATAAAATAAATGGAGGACATTTCCAATCAAACAGCAAGTTAAAATAAATGTCTGTTAACTTGGAAAATAGCGATCAATTCCATTTCTCCCGTGAATTCCAAGATGGTACTATTCTGTAACACTCAGTAATTTATATTTACGGTGATCGTACTATGACGGCTGCGGGCGTTGCGGGGAGAATCGGGGTATGAAAGCGGCGAGTCGCCGTCCTTCGTACTACCTGCATTGTATTATGATTTTCCCAATATCTTCCTTATTTATGCTTCGATTTTCAAAATCGAAGAACCATTCGCATCTTGAAACATAGGCGCATCGACATTATTACGAGTATTTTTTTGATAAACGTTATAGTTACTGAGATAATGCGAGGTATATGAAAAGCAATTTAACGAAAATTTACAAGTTTCGAGTTATAGCCGTTTGAAATATGATTTTCTCAGATATCGTAATGTAATTGGTGAATTTCAAAATGTTCTATAATTTGTTCTACTTGTCACACGAAATCAATATTCGACAGGGTGGAAGTTCTTGAACCCATCAATATTTTCCACTAATAAAAAAAAATCCATATTTTTTTATAAATTACCCCCTACCCCCCAAACGCACAGGACGATTTTTTGACGACAAGTGGATCCATGATCTGGAGATGGTAGGTAACAATTCTAGCCATGTCACAGCTTTTTACCTCCGATTTCCCACCAACTTTTGATCTAAGCGACTTACGGTTCGTTTGGCACTCTACTAATACCCACTAAACACTCCACCCCGTTTGTAGGCTCGTCTGACCGAAGTCTCCGACTACACTTAGGCCTAGTGGCCCATATTGTATCTTACCTACATGCCGTTATCAATTATTTTGCCATATACGACTCATGGTGCTTATTAAGGGCCACTTCAATATGAAAGGCCCTTATATTTTCGTTCAGGTTCCTGAAGATTACTCTTCCGATCCCTGTTCTCGTCTACGAAGAAGGCCAAAAGTTTTCCTTTTTCTTCGAGTGACGGGGAAAAGGGTTCGTCCAGCCCTGTGGTGCCCCCTGCACCAGGCTAAGGCTACTTACTCTGAGATGTCGCCCTGTTTTCCAGAGGCCTCGTTAGCGACACCATACCTCGGTGCCATTCATTCATCACCACGGGTTCGCACAGCTTGGATTAGGTTGCCAGAGCCTCGCGTTGACCAGCCCTCGGCCACCAAGACAGATATCAGCAAATCGCCCCATCCCTGCCACAGATGTCCACAAATTTTCCCATCTGGCCCGGAGATAGCAAAGATGTTCCCAATATGCTTCATCCGTCGAGTGGCCGCGGTCTGTTCTCCCCCAACCACTTTGTGGTTAGGTTGGGCTTGGAGGGGGGGAGGAAAAGAGAATTTGGCCAAGAAAGGCCGATAACGGCCGATAGATAGATTGAAAAAGGATGAGAGGAGAGGGTATCTCCCAAGACAAATTGAAGTATGGTGAATGTCCGGCTAGGGCAACGGGTTCACCATTCCCGTACCCACACAAGTTGTGAGCCCCTGAGGGCTTATTAATTTGGATATAATTATTTCCAAGATTCGGAAGTGATTGTTCTCAATTTGAACTTGAAGAGGTATAGATCGTTTTCGAGTTTAGATCAGTGTGATGAGGGTGATCGCTTCTACACCATCAGTATGTTACCAAGTTAAGGTTGCATAGCATGGGGATATCGGAAACGGTAGGAGATACGAATTTGGTGAAATGGGAAAGAAGTTTGTTCCTTCCTACATCCTTCAGAAATTTCCAAGAATATTTATAGTTTTTCAGTTACCTATATATACACACACTGGCACAATTAGGGGAACGGGTGAAATTTACACTAAGTTTGACATCAATTTTCTCTCGAACCGATCACTCGATTCAAATCTTTTTTCCACGAATTGTAGCTTCATTCTTCATGAATACATCTGAGAAATAACCACCTCCAAACGATTCGTCTTTATATCATATACAGGGGTGTGAAGAAAGTACGGATTTTTCGGTATTCTTTAAGACATCCTGTGGATTGAACCACTGATAATTGAAACGATTTTATAGCCCAATCTATCCCGAATATCTTCGTTTTTTAGTCATCTTGATATCCCAATTATACAAGAAAATATAGAGTTTCAAAGAAGAGGTGGATATTGGTATTAATTTTACCACCTCGAAACTCAAACTGGGGAGAACGTGTCGTTTTTCAACTTGTTTCTGTGAGGATTTTTACTTCAAGATGAGAATTGTTCACAGATTTACCTATCGGTTTACTGTTTAAAGACATACGTACGAATACTCTCATGAATATGCAGGGGTGATAAAAGTTGCTCCAATGTTCTTTTGGTGAAATGCTATTTTTGTTTATCAACGTTGGCTATTTTGTTAATGTCATTAATTATTGTCAAAGTAGAGCGATTCACAATTCATAAATTTGATTAATGAAAATTCAACGTGAGAGATTTGACTCCTACTGATGTGGCGAAGGGCTGTAGCATTAATTAAAAATGACCAGTGGGCCAATGTTCTTTCAACAATCAACATATGAGAGCCGCATCTGCACGAATTCAATAGATGGCAGGGAAATACTATGGCAGAGGTTTAGTCATGGTTAGGTTAGGTTAGTCAAGAAACGACACATTTTCAGATCCAATTTGAGTTTTGAGGTGTAAAATTGATACCAATATCCACCTTTCCTTTGAAACTCTGTATTTTCTTGAATAATTGAGATATCAAGATGAATAAAAAACGAAAATATTCGGAATAGATTGGACTCCGATTTGGTGTTGAGAAATCGTTTCAATCATCAGTGGTTCAGTCCACAGGATGTCTAAAATCCAAAAAATCCGTACTTTCTTTACACCCCTGTATATGATGGAAAAACTCATCGTTTGAAGGTAATTATTTCTCAGATGTATTCTTGAAGAATGAAGCTAAATTTCGTGAAGAAAACAATTTGAATCGAGCGATCGGTTCGAAAGGAAATTGAAGTCAAACTTAGTGTAAATTTTGCCCGTTCCCCTAATTGTGCCAGTGTGTATATATCGAAAAATGAAATTTCGAAAAATATTTGTTTCTATACCTACCTTCTTAATGGAGATACTTAGAGAAAAAATAAATAACTATTACATGAGTTACATAAAAAAGGAGACTAATTTTTTTAAAGAATTTGACCTAAAACTCGACTTATTAAATGAATTTTCTTCTGAGAATATATATTTTTCGAAAAATTACTTGAGAAAACATAAGAGACTAGGTACTTTTTTTATGCAATCTGACCAAACTATTCTTAAAAAACTCCCTAAAAACTATATTCTTCAGAAAACAGAATACAAAAAAGTTGTGGCTCGCATCTCGCCGCATGCGTAGCACACAGTGCTATTAGACCATATATCTACTAATCCTATATGAATCATAGCTGTCCTCAAAACGGGACCAACTTCTGTCTCTATAGGTAACGAAATCGACCGTTGATGCCGACGTAGGGAAAAAATAATACGAAAAATAAATAATACGAAACTTGTCAAACCAATATGGCTGTTTCCATCCTCCACTTACATAATACGCAACATAATACGAACTTCTAACTGGGGGAAAACAAACTATTGTCTATGGATAAAGTGCGTAGACTACATTGCATACATCTTGCTGTAGCTGTAGTTGTCAAACTTGTCAATGACATAAAGTGTTATCACTCTTATCAGTACACAGTACACAAGCTAATGGCACTAGGATTGAGTGAGGATTGAGTTTGTTTTCCCCATAGTTTTGACTTGGCTTCGACATGGAACGATGAAAACCGAGCGCCTCCTGGTATTTCCGCGAATAGATTCAAAAAGTACCTTCAATTTTGTTCCCATTTTTGTTGAGATATCGTATAGGCGATGCGCCATATATAGAAATAGTACATATATGCATTAGACACTACGGCGATAATTATTGAGCAATGATTTCAATATAAACCTAACGAATTAATCTCGTAATTCTCGGATCATGTGTACAATCGTTGCGTTAGGAGCAAGAATATGGGGTGTAGTGAGCAGGAACTGTCTGCAGACTCCCTGGTATTTGGTCTTGGTGATCGAAAGTCATGGCTGTTTGAATTCTAGCTAATGGTTACGCTTGACATTCCGTCACTGTCACAGGTTACTTAAGCTTCGTGTTTCGTGTAATCGTGTTTACTTTTTATTCTCTACAAAGGTTTTTCTTCTCTCTCTTGTGCTCTTGCAGCTTGCAGCTTGCTGTTCACAGTGTTTACAATTACAAAACTTGAACATAAACGTCCGGTCCGAGAGCATCCAAATTCCGAGAAAGTGGAACTAGTGGAAGAGAAAAAGCGTTCATGACGATGAAGAACAGAAGTACCAGAGTGAAAGGATAATATACTGTGACCAGAGTAGGTTTCCGATTCCAACTTCCCAAGTCGTGGATGAATCCTTGGCGAATGAACCACTTTTATTTCTCTGCTATTCAAAAATAGTAGAGATTTATCCGAGAGGTTGATCAGACTTCAGATAGGTACTCAACTTCGACCCTGCTGCATCTCCTAAGTTCATTCTTTTCACCATACTAACATAATATTAATGATATCATCCTGAAGTGTATAGGCATGCAAGACATTCTTATTGAAAAAATGGTCACCTGTGTCCATGCTGTATTCTGAAGCTTTTTTTCTCTGTTACATATTCACAACACTCACAATCATTCCAGATCTAGATATTATGCTCTGTTGTAGCATCCCCTTACATGAAGTTATTTTGCCATTTTATTATCATCAGCTGTACAAGCATATTACAAAAATTATAGTTGTTTTCTTCACTAGTCCCTATACAAATTCAGAATGGTTATTCATTTAAATCTCATCAAGATGTGGGTATATTACATTGAGATGGTTGATATTTATATTTTTTTAAGGATTGTTTGGATGAGCAAAGGTGACTGAAAAAGTAGAAAAGGTGGTTCTGGTTAATTTTATTAAATGATTATGATGAGGCAAGGAATGATGGTGAAATGAGCTAACTCAATGATTTTGGTACTTGGACTTGCAGTTTATCAAATATAATATCTAGTCCTCTCAGGTAAGTCAGCAAAAATGAGAAATTTTATGAATGTTCATCCAGGTGGCCATGCACAACACTCAGTACATTGAGTGAAGATTTAGAATGGTTGGATACACAATTTCTTAACAAAGATAAAACTTTCTGTATGGGAATGTATTATAAAGTTTTTCTTCATGGCCATTTTGATATGCTTGTAAATTGAAACTGATGAAACAGTTGAACATTGGCTGGAAGCTTAAAATACCAGATGATCCATTAAATTTAACATTTCTTGCTACTTTTTTGATCAAGTGATTATTTTCATTTCATGATCAGGCTTTCATTTCATGATCAGGCGAATGAAAACTTGTTCAACCCTGAAGTGAAAGGATCCAAGAACCCTTCAGTCTCAAAGCATTGGTATAATTGAAATATAAAAGCATTACATTATAAGAAATAGTCACAACAATATAAAGGATTTTCAAGTATTTCAGTTTCAGAATAAAATGGCCAGCCCATCTCCTCAAAACAGCCCAATGCCACCACCTCAGGCACCCAGCCCTATGGGCCCCCCTCCCTCCCACAGTCCTGCACCGCCTTCTCCTGTTCCTCAACCTCAGTATCAAGGCCCTCCAACAGGAGCTCCCACCCAAACCCATTATCCAAATCACTCTAGCCAGTACCAAGGACACCCTGGAATGCCACCTGAACAACATTCCCAAATGATGGGTAGCCCATCTCCCCATCATCAATATGCCCCTCAGGGATACCCCCAGCAAGCTGGGCCTCCCCATGGACATGCAGGTCCCCCTCAGGTACATGCAGGACCTCCTCAAGGTCACCCAGGAGCTCCTCAAGGTCATGTTAACGCTCCTCAAGGTCACCCAGGGCATCCACCTTCACATCCAGGTCATGTGGCTTCACAGGTTTGTATTAGCTATTTATATACCTAGGGAGAAAAGCTATGCAGATGAACATTCTGCATCATCATCCAACCATAATACTAATTCAACACAATATTTCAGATACAGAATACAGTACCCAAAAGTGATATTGTTAAATTCTTTAGTCCCTCCTAAAAATCTCAAATCTAAACCAATTCAGAAAAAAATATTGCTTTCATTGTTTGTTGTTGTTCTAAAATTGTCAGAAGTAAAGACTTCTGACAATTTTAAGAGGCTTGTGCAAGCAAGGAATGTCAGGGGGTATTACCTTTTAACATGTGATCCCAAACACTTTCATGTGCCATCATAGAAATGTATGCATGGGAATCTAACCCACATACCAGCAATCCAACGTGAATAGAATACTGGCCTCCCTTAGGTAGTATCAAAACCAAAACAAAAAAACTTCCCTAAGAGATATTAAATGCATCTTGACAGGCTTGGTCAACCTGAAAAACTGGGACATCACATAATAGCTCAAAATACTATTCATCTCCCCGGAAAATTTCCGCTGAAATAGGTAGTATTTACTGACAATAATGATCTGGTAAATTTTCAGCATGTCAAATTTACTGTTTACTGAATGTGATTCAAAATGACCTTCCTAAGATAAAATATTTGTGTGACTGTGATTTTGTGCTTTAATGTTAGCTAATGAAACATCCGCAGTTTTAGGTTTGCTTTGGTAATGTAGTTCTTGAAAACAGCTCGGAAAACAGTGAGATAGAAAACAAGAATTCTTCAAAAATTTTAGGTTTGATCATTGAAGAAAAATCCAAATTCACTTGACTCATTGCTCAGTTATGTAAAAAAGTCTCTAGGGGATGTTATGCTGTCAGAGTTGTTCTGGGGCTATTGTACTGCAACTTCCTTGAATACAGTTCCAATATGCAATGGTTAGAGAACATTGTAGACCCCATTTTTTCAAGGGAAATGTCGTTTGATGGTCTTGAAATGTACAGAGTGGGGTAAAAAAAGGAAGGGGTTTGAATAGTAAATAACTTCTTCATTTCAGTGTCTATTCAATTGATTTATTTTATAAAAATACTACATTAATGAGGAATTTGTTTGATTCAAATGTGGAAAATGACATTGCATAACTGGTGTAAATTTTCAGTTTTCCAAAGTTGAGCTATTTCCAAGACTCCCCATGATTTTGAGCAATATTTCAGGTGTTATTGTTTGAAGTTCTTCTGGAATATTATTCCTAAGGAAATCCATCAGAGGCAATTGCACCCTCAAAAGTGTTGGGTTTGGTGTTTATTTATGGTCCATATTTTTTTGAAAATGTCAATGCTGTTCAATACCACACCATGTTGAAAAATTTTTTTAGGCTGTTGAGTTGTGGGTTCTCAGAATTAAAATACTATTGATGTTAGTTTCACTTTTATTCTAATTCACTGCATCAACCTGTGTTCAACCTCAATCAATATCCAATTCCCTGTTGACCTTTCTACCAGTCAGTTGTCTAAATGTAAAAGTCATACCTAACTCACACCTGACAACGCCAGGTGCCATGTTGCCAGGTAGAGAGCGAACAAAATGAACTGACAGAACATCTCCCTCTTCAAGATATATAAAATATATTACTCCTTAATATTACATAATAAAATCTTTCAGATGAGAAGGTATACCTAACTTACACCTGACAACGCCAGGTGCCATGTTGCCAGGTAGAGAGCAAACAAAATGAACTGACAGAACATCTCCCTCTTCAAGATACATAAAATATATTACTCCTTAATATTACATAATAAAATCTTTCAGATGAGAAGGTATACCTAACTTACACCTGACAACGCCAGGTGCCATGTTGCCAGGTAGAGAGCAAACAAAATGAACTGACAGAACATCTCCCTCTTCAAGATACATAAAATATATTACTCCTTAATATTACATAATGAAATCTTTCAGATGAGAAGGTATATCTACAGATAATTTTGATTTGGGCATTGTAACAATTTTTGTAGACCTTAGCAACTTTGGTGATACAGATACTTCAATATCATTTTTTGATTCTAATGACTCTGGAAATAATGATATGTCACCTCACAATTTTTTGGCAAAATACTTGACTACTGTCAGCAAGATTTTTATTCTTAACATCATAATGATGAATGTCAATTTATCATACACCCAAAATCATAATGATCATTGACAATTTTTTCATCATAGTAGATACCAGTACCCAAGGAAACTGATTTGGTTTTGTATAATGATACCTATCAAATCTATAGATGTTGCCAGAATTGGATACAATTATGTAGGAACGAGGTTCTACTGAAAATTCAATGACTAACATAGAATTTCAAATGAGTTACCCAGACCATAATCTCCTACTTTCAAATCAGATAGGTTTCTTGCCTGGTGTCTGTGATTAAATTGCATCACACTTTCATCCTTTGATATTCTCTCTTTTTCCTTCAAGGAAGTTGCAGCTACATAATTCATTAACAGACTTGGCAATATAGAAAGGAAAGAACATAATAAAGCTTGGTAAACATCATTTTTTCTTGATAACATTTTTTGCTATGAAGTCATATTCTCTAGCAAATTTTTGAAATTCTTGAAACGATGGTTCATTGTCGGATCTTATTAACTCACAAATACCGTATGGGGAGAACAAATCTTTGACTTTTTCTATAATGGCTGGTTCTGTCATTTTTGACAACTCATAAATTTCAAAAAATCTTGAATAACAGTCCGTTATTATCAGATACTATAAATTGTTGCATTTATAAAGGTCTAAAGCAGCTTTCTGCCAGGTCCTATCCGGAAATTAGGCAAATATCAATCATCATACACTTCTTGGGCTTTGTCTGATACTCTATCCATAGTAAGATTACACATCATAGGCTATAATGGCTGCGGTCACACAGGCAAGTGAGAATGCACAGCAGACAGTGATTATTCCGTTTATTTCACGAATTCAAAATAGTCACTGATGATTTGATAATGATTGATGAATCACTTGAGAAGGCTACCAAGCACCAAGTTGAGTTGTGGGTTCTCAGAATTAAAATACATTTGACTGAAGATTCACTTTTATTCTAATTCACTGTATTGACCTGTGTTCAACTTCATTTCATATTCAATCCCCTCTCGACCTTCCTACCAATCAGTCGGCAAATGTCAAAGTCAAACCAAACTTACACCTAACAACGCCAGGTGCGATGATGCCAGATAGAGGGGAAACAAAATAGACTGACACATTAGAGACCACCTGTGAGTTACAGTTTTCAACCCCATGTTCTCTTTAGGTTCATCCGGGACATCCATCATCCCAACAAGGTTTGCAAGGCCATTCCCAGTCACAGCAAATCCATCCTGGCCACCCACCACAACAAGGCCATCCTGGGCACGTGCCACCCCAACAAGGACATCCTGGGCATGCGCCACCCCAACAAGGACATCCTGGGCATGCGCCACCGCAACAAGGACATCCTGGGCATGCGCCACCGCAACAAGGACATCCTGGGCATGTGCCACCGCAACAAGGACATCCTGGGCATCCGCCACCTCAACAAGGACATCCTGGGCATGCGCCACCGCAACAAGGACATCCTGGACATGCGCCACCTCAACAAGGACATCCTGGACATGCGCCACCTCAACAAGGACATCCTGGGCATGCGCCACCGCAACAAGGACATCCTGGACATGCGCCACCTCAACAAGGACATCCTGGGCATGCACCACCTCAACAGGTAACAAACAATATGAATAACAAGAATCTCGAAAAAAATTTACTATCCGAAAGGATTTGGTGACATAATGTGAATACACACATATTATTGGCATCACAGATTATCATAGAGAGAAATGAATATATTTGATTGCTTAATTGATCATTATAATACTCTGCAACTGTTCAACCAAGAATATGTTAAAATTCAAGATTATTATTGAAGTTTGTCCACACTTGAATATGAAATGTAGTTGAAAATTATTTGCCTAGTAGGTGTTTTGTATACTTGAAAACTTGAAGACTATTTGAGAACAAAAGCAGGAATAATCCTTTTTACGTTGAAGATAGATATTTGGAATCTAGTTATGCTCGTTGTCTGTATGGTTACATCAATTCATATTTTTATAATTCATGATCACTATCAATGAAGGCAAAATATTATATTATTGGCGAATTTCAAGGTCATTAGAAGATGTTGCTAAGACATTCATCAATCTATGCCTGGAGTTAAAAATGTTTTTCTCATTGCTTAACGTCATCACAATGTCAGACAATGACCTTGAATTCCGTCATTTACTTTGATAGTAATGCGTTTTTCAAAAACGGCTTCCCATTCTCATAAGGTTACTGTAGAGATTTTCCATCTGAATTGATGTATACACGCAACAGGTTCATTCTGGGCATCCTCAACCCCAACAGAGTCATCCTGGGCAACATCCAGCTCAACAGGGCCATCCTGGGCAACATCCAACCCAAGGGCACCCAAACGTGCCACCCGCAGGGCATGCTGGTCAAGTGAACAGTCATACGCCACATAACATGCATCCAGGCCATTATCCAGGTAGATTTTTTGAAAATTTTCCTTTCAAGATGATAACTATTTTATGTCATTTTGTTAGTTGTTTTCTTCATAGGGATATCTATTTTGATTTACTAAATAATGTTTGTCTTTTACTAAGTTTGCAGGAATTCACAACAAATCTATCAGAAAGTATTAGGATAAATCGAGGGATAAATAATGTTTCTATTGAAAATATCACACCAAAATTTAAGGAGTCACTTTATTTACATTTTATTTTCAGTTCATCAATATTGGACAACCTATGATGGTCGTTCTTTATTACTCAGGTATATTCAATTCTTTTAGTTATTTTGTAGTTTGATGTGCGATTTATCCTTTTGTCTGTATAAATAGCGGTTGGTGACGCGGCAGCCATATTTACATAAGTGAATTCCTCAGAGTATCAATTAATTACCTGTGTACAGGGTGGTTAATTTTGAAAGGTGATAGAACAACAACAAAAAGTAGACTTTCATGAGAAAACTTTGTTGGAAAATGTTTCCTAACAAAAATACATGGTGTTGAAAGTTTTGGGCAAGAACGTCTAAATTAGGGTCCCTTGATGGAAATTGACGTTAAAGTCATCATAACAGGGTACGGACAGATCCTCGTCTCCTCTCACTCTAAAGTGTTTGTGAAACAGTTATATAGTTCCATCCTTATTCAATTCTGGGGATAAACACTAGATTTTTGACATTCGTTGTTTTTTAGGTTATATTGAGGTCACTGGCGTATCATACGTAATTTCTATATGGAATTCCTGATTCAACTATACCAAGATATAAGGCGTTTTCGGAAACTTACTCGGGTTATTCGGATCCCTAACCTGAAAGTTCGGTAACTTCAACCGAGTTACCTACCTCTGTTCGGAAACTTGAATGATGCTAACTCGATCACTGACTCGGGTTGATTTTTCGTGACCCTACTCAAAAGCAGGGTCGCCAGAGTTGCCAAGGACATCGCATGCGCATTACGAAATTTAAGTCAATCAAAAAACGCGGGAGTTTACATTAGACGATAACAATAATAATAAAATAATTTGCATGCTGGGAAAAATCACGACCGGTGATATAGATGTTCTTTTCAATCTTCATAATTTGATTAAAGTAATTCATTGAGACGAGAATTTGGGTAGGGGTAAAGTTTGTGGTTATGTGGAACAACACATATGAGACAAGTACACCAATCCACAGGTAAATATAAATATTTGTAATCAGATCAAATAATTACTTGAATATAATGTGACCATTTTCGTCTGTCCAATTCATGAAACCACAGGAAAAATATAATATTCAGTGACCCCAACCTGACACGTTCGTAAACGTTGAACACGGGTAGATGATCCGAGTTTTTTGTCACGTGACCTATCTGGATCGAGTTATCAACCCAGAGTAAGTTTCCGAAAACGCCTATAGCTGAACAATCCTCTAGTTTTAGAGTTTACTACTCCAGCATAATCTTTGCGATTTAGGGAACATATAAATTGTACTGAAAGCTCAATATATTTCACCAAAAAAGACTGTTATTAGACTGTATACCAGGGTCGGTGAAATTATGTATGTTTTGTATCTACAGTTTAGAGCACATTGACGTCAATTCGGGGTATTTAAATAATGGAACATCCGTTACATGACGGCATATGTGAGTAAATATTACAAGTGTGTTTCACTGGGAATGGTGGAATTTTGCACCTAGGCCCTTTGTGCTTATGGCGGCAGTATTGTCGCCACTCTATTGATAAAGTAACTCTAATGCAGGCCACCCGATGCAGCAGCGCCCGCCACACCCAGCAGCTGCGCCTGGGCCTCCCGCCCCAGCTGGGCAGCCGCAGCAACAGCCGCGTCCGCAGGCCGCCGAGAACCTGCACGCGCTGCAGAAGGCCATCGACACGATGGAGGAGAAGGGCCTGCAGGACGACCAGCGGTACTCGCAGCTGCTGGCGCTGCGAGCCAGGACGACGGCTGCGGCGAGCGGAGGAGGCGCGCAGGCGCTGAACGCCGTGCAGATGGGGCAGCTGCGCAACCAGATCATGGCGTACAGGTGGGTGTCCTGGATTATACCACAGTATTCAAGGTCGCCAAGGTCATTAGATGACGTTGCGATGACATTCAAAACTACGGGAATACATCATAACTCCTGGCATAGATCGAAAGTTATACGTGATTTCCCTTAGTTTTTAATGTCATCACAACATCATCTAATGCACGTGTCGACATAAGGCTAGTATGCGCCGCTGCTCAGCTAGCAGGGCAGGTGTTTTGTTTACATTTCTTTGATATAAATGCCTTTATGATTCATTCTGTGATAGGATAGGAGTATCACGATTTATTGATTTTGTCTAGTATAGTTTTTTGAACCACGTATTCCTGATTGCTGGTATAATTATTGTGCTTCATAAACTTTATACAGGGTGAGTCATGAGGAATTTTATGATTATCAATTTTCAATTTTGTTGATTCGATTTGTTTTATCAAGTTATTTTGGTCACTTATTTGCCGTACAGAAGAATAATTATTATCATCCTTTGTTATTGTATTCTTGTAAAAATTTTTGGATAAATCCCCATTTTCTGATTGACTTTCTAGAATCATTTGAATCGACTGCAATTAATATCCATACAGATACCCCATCCACTGATTCGAAATTATACCTTCCACAAAAAAATAAAATGACGAAATCCAGACCTGAAAATTAAAGAACATGTTGATTCCCATTGAGCTAAAGCATTGAAAATGTCAGTCTATCTTTAAATCGTGAAATTTATGCCTTGCGAAGTATTTATTTTCAAATAAATGTTATTGTTGCAAAAAATTCGTATTTTCTTAAAATGTTTCGCCTTTAAAAGATTGTGTGAAAGTGTGAGAGAAATTTCGGATATTTCATTTCCGATGTTTGTTCGTGCCCTTTGAATTTTCCCTGTCACAGTTTACAAAAACCATATACAGGATGAACTTTTTGATATAAATTGAACTAGCAAAATTCTTCAAGAACGGTCCTGGATTTTCCTTATTCTGAATAAGTCAGTTGATTAGAGAGTAGTAACAGCCCATGCGAAAATCAGACAAATCGAAGAATCTGTTGGAAAGTTATGACCAAAATATGTTTTTGCCATATACCATAATTCACCCTATATATTAGTGAAGAAGAGGAGCTCACAGCTTCTGGTGATCCATTTCACTGTTGAGTGCTATTGATATTACTGTTCATGGAGCTGATTATATATTTCACAACATATGTATTTATACGTAGAAGATAATGGCTGCCTGCTGTTTTATTTGAATAGTTGGAGAAATTGCACTAAAGTATCTTGAGATTTCCAAAAGAAGAGCAAAGGTAAGGAAAAGTATATCCTCCAGTATATCCACAGATATCTATGATCTGTTTGTTATCCATCAACATAATGCATTTATTATCATAGTATAAACACAGTGTGGTTTTAATCCTGATTTTTAAATCTAAATTTCAATGTTTTTACCAGCGTAAGTGCGTAGATAGGCTATTTATGTATTTATTTGAAGCCGGACCTGTTTACATTGAATTCAGGGACGTCACAGTATTCTTCAGTGATGACGAGCGAGTCGTCATTGGCTTGTCATTGGCTCGACCAAGCCGGAAAGGCGAAAGTCTGTGCGTGATGGTATGCGCACTGGTCTGGCAAAAAATAAAACTTGTGAACACCAACACCAAACGTTCCGACACTTGATGTAATTACTTGTTTTTCGTAAGGGTGTATACTGTGATTGTACAGTGTGACCAAAATGAGGTTGCACGGAACGGGAATCTCGGAAACGGGAGGGGATACAAATTTGTAGTGTATTGGATTATGCAATGAATAAAGATATTGGTATTAACTGAGTCATGGGAATGATACAGATATATGAATAACGGCAGTCGGTACTGGGCCGTGACACAGTGAAGACATGAAAAGTGTAAGAGAGTATCGTATCCAGGAGCTACGTACATATACGCCCTGTATAGTGTTTCTAGATTAATGAGTGTCGATCTATTGATGACACACGGGGTTATGTAAAAGGTGACGGGTATTTTGAGTAGAATTTATCGATGTATGAGTAATATTAGGTAGTTAAGAAGTAGCCGTGATACGGATAGGTTGTATCTGATACCTATTGTGAATATAGTGGAAATCGTGGAGTACCCAGAGTGTTTCATTCTAATAACCGTCCACCAAGCTAACAAAAGTGAAATAGGTGTTTAATTTAATCTTCCCACTTCGAGAGTGATAAGAGTGATCAACAATAGACGCTACAAAATTCATTTTGATCTCCAAACAATTCACCTACTGAATGAGTTTGAAATTTTTAGGCTATATCCATTGTGAATATGTTCTACAATCATCATCACTATTAATCAGCTCTAGTAAGACCAAACTAACTGGAAATGTAAAATTCTAATTATCAAGTTCTAATTTTTTCATCATAACATACTGCCTGTAGGTTGATGGAGGAGGTGGTTTATACATTTTGCTACTATAGGTATATTGAAATAATACTCATATTCTCATTTTGTAGAAACAAGGACTCCCAAATAATCTAGCAAAATGAATAAGAACACACTCTCGAAATCATTGTGAATTTCTTCGAACATCAAAATGAAAAATGACACTTTTCTCGAGAACGGTTCATTTCACAACATTCTAACAAGAATGCATTCTTGTGAAATTGTTCAAAGAATCATATTCTGGTAGTGAAAATGAGATAAATCTGCAAAAAAAAACGTGGGGCTTTTTTACAGCATCGCACTTCTTTGTATATTACATCATGTCAACGGTACCACGAAACGATTTGTAGGATAGAACCACCAGTAGGTACCAAATGTTGTGAATCTATCATCAATAATGAATGTTAACATATGGATTGGTTACCACATTTAGCTGTATGCTGAATCAACAATAATTATACAAACGTTTTATTCTTAATGTTTAGGTTACAAAGCCATGTTGTGTACTGTACGATGTCTCAAACAGAAATCAAAGTTTTTTGTCTTCGCACTGCCTCGAGACGCAGGTACCCGGGGGCTGGCCATTTGTTCTTCATAAAGGCCGGAAGGGCTCGGTCATTTCGGTTCACTAACAGCATGAATGTGTCTTTTGTTAGTTTATGAAAAATAGTCACCTTACACTTGAGAATCACAAGGATAATTGATACATCTGCATTTAAGGACCTACCTTCAAAGAGCTCTAGCCCCCTTAGGAACTATTTTCGGACACATGTTGATAGGAACATTTATTCTTATTTTTATATGCAGAAGTACCTCCCGGAGAATTCATTTATTTCAGTTATTGCGTTACATTATTCTTCACTAATACATTTTATACAACTAATATATAAAGAATAATTAATTTTCTCATTCATGAAATATTATCGACTGTTGGTATAATTGACATTACAAATAGTGAACACAACTTACGTATCATTGAGATATTTCCAAATAACAGTACTTGTATAGTGAGCAAGAAGGGACAAAAAAAAACAGCGAAGAGAGAGAGAGAAAAAAAAGGAAATTCACAAAGTCTGTCAGCTTTTATCATTCCTTTGCATCAGAATATATTTCTTCACTTTACTTGTGAATTGTATAATATTTAGGCTCTTTTTGATATCATCTGGTAATTTATCACATTTCGAAATCGCCTCATGTGTAAACTTTTTTTGGCCAAGTTGCAGCTTCAAAATGAAACAAGGTATATTGTCTAGTGTGATGACCATGAATTTGGAAATTCCTAATTAATATAAAATTTGATTTAAGCTTTTCGTTGATGATAAAATAGAAAATTTGCCGAAGAAATTGTGTTTGTTTCTTTATACACTTGATTTGTTGGAGTATCATATTATGGAAGACCATACAGTACTGTCAATGCCTTCTTATATAGAACAGACATTCTGTTAGAACAATTTTTGGAACAAGATCCCCAAATATTTATCAGATAGTTAATTCTACTGAGGATAATGTGGATAGAGAAGAATATTTGATGTATATGTACTAAGTTTAGGACATCTTCTTGAAGCACCAATAATGGGTGATATATTTCTCCTTTGAGGATGTAAATATGCTATTCTCATGTTAATGTCTCATAGTTTCAGTTCTTCTACAGCAGTAATCTTGTAGGGATGCATTTGGAGATTTTCCTTCAGTGCCTTATGACAAGTTCCTACAGGAAAACCTGAGAGAGGGGGCATATATTACATTATATTCATGGGAACTTCACCAACTAATTAGTTTCCTACCTGTTTCTTGTGACAACTTTGAGACAGGCTTATTAGGACTTTCCACCATACGATTCTCCATATCATGACCACTTTCGAAGAAGAAAGAAGTGTTAGTCTATCAGATGATGTTCCTTTGCACATACAGTGTTTTGTTTCAAAATGCTGTACAATATGCAGTGTGTGGTTGGAAAATATATCATATGGGATATTTGCATTTTTGGAAAAATGAATATGTCCATGTTCCATCAGGATTAATCCTGAAAGGAAAATAAGGACATGAACAATTAAAACAAGAGGTTACTTATTGGTCTTACCTTTCCACAACAAAGAATTGAAGATGAAGTTTTGATAAAAACTGTTTTTTGCAAAGTAATTGTGAGTGAAATAATCAAATGCAAGAACAAGAAAATAAAAACGAACCACATGGACTATCAACAAATACGGAAGAAAAGACAACAAAGTGCTACAGAGTGTTAGGGCTACGCAGCTGTGCAATATGAATTTCGAAAACCCTAGAATATTGATGATATTGGCTGCTGTGGCAGTTGACGGACCAATCAAATTGCGACAGACGTGAACGATAGAAAGTAAAAATTATTGACTATAGTAATGAATGATCTAAGGTGCAAATATGACTTATATGATGATGTAAAAACTTCACAAACGATAAGATTTCCACAAAATTCTCAAACTCACGACATTTTTCGCTAACACAGTAGCTTCGTCAGGTGATATACGGGTACGATGAACTAAACTAACCTTGGCTTGCTTATATATCCTACTTTTCCAACCTGTAGGATTAGTTACCTGTGGGCAGGTTCGATAAACCTCCATTTCGGAAATTAGGCACAATCTCTGCATTGAAATACGGTGTACCGTATTAACTTGAAAGGGTTGATATAAAATACATATTATTACTTACTAAGAAAACAAATTCGACAGTTTGTAGTATTGAGGTCTAATTGATTGTTAAGTAAAATGTCAGAATTTTTGAGTTTGTTGATTTTTAATTTTTCAAAATGATTGAGTTTTATTCCTTTATTTTCTACGTGTAGAATTTCGAAATTATCATCGAAACTACTCTTTTTATATATGGTTGGCGTATGTTGAATTTGTTTTCTTTTTCAAATAATTTATCCTACGTTCATGAATTCGCTGATTAAACGTACGACCTGTCTGACCGATATGCCGGGTGGCTACGGAAGTATTGCCTACTGAATATCTCAATTATTGTATGAAGTAGGTTTGTGAAATTTGGAGCGTCGATATAATGACATAAGAGCTAGAATTTGAGCATATTGACATGCCGAAGTTAACTTCCGGTCTGGCCGGAAGTAACATCAACTTTCTTATTTTAAATGGAAACCCTATTTTTTTTTCTTTTCGCTTTATTCAGCATCCAATTCCCTTTCTAATGACATATCACAAGTTGGTATCTAACCAGAAACTAGATCAGAAAAAAATTATTATTGAAATTCACCTAGTAGGCTGTGGAAGCAAAATGAAAGCCAAAAATTGGAAAGTTGGCTATGGAAACCATACGTCACTTGATAACAGTTGCTACTACTGTGATATTTCATTTTCATTCGTCGGCGTTACAAAAAGCCGCCAAAAAAATATTGGAAAAATTGGGAAAAAAACAATACTCTGTAGGTCCATAACTTGAATGGGAGCATACAACTTTTTCTTGCTTGTACTATTCAGCATAACTATTCCTTTCTAATGATATAATAGAAAGTCATTTTTTGGCTTTCATTTTTCTTCCACGCCCTACTCGGTGAATTTCAATAATAATTCTTTTCTGATCTAGTTTCTGGTTATAGATACCAACTTGTGATATGTCATTAGAAAGGGAATTGAATGCTGAATAAAGCGAAAAGAAAAAAAAATAGGGTTTCCATTTGAAATAAGAAAGTTGATGTTACTTCCGGTCAGACCGGAAGTTAACTTCGACATTTCAATATGCTCAAATTCTAGCTCTTATGTCATTATATCGACGCTCCAAATTTCACAAACCTACTCCATACAATAACTGAGATATATCGTAGGCAATACTTCCGTAGGCACCCGGTATACCTTAGGACAAGATACACAGTTGAGTTTGTATCCTCCTGATTTTTCGAATTTAGAAGTTTTGTCTTTATTATTCTTGATAAACCTTCCCAACGTGTTATTTGATCTGTATGCTACTTTTAAGTCCTGTTTATGTAGAAATGAAGCTAATTTTTCAGTTGATGATCCAGAATAGGTTAATTTTCTATAATTTTGATTATTATTCCTGATGGTAGGATAAACTTCTTGAAGTTTTTTAGAAAGAATACTGTTTTTTCATTTGCCATGGTTTTCCATCAGGAAACGGCCGAGTCAATTCAAAATATATGATGATATTACTTGAGTAAACATGATAGCAAAACTGTGTTGTTGGTTGCATACGAATATGGTCTCATGGTGTTCCATCATTGTTGAAGACCCGGTAAAAGTACTGTATCGTCTGCATATATGGTATAGTTTCCTTTCAAATTCATTCATGTATCCATATGAACGTTATTCTGAATACTCCTGAATATTGTACTCTATTCTAATTTTTTTTTGTCTACCAATAAATCTTCCACTCCACTCCAGATGTCTGGCCAGAAACCAGCCGATCCCGACCTCCGTGCTGATGGGTTTGCAGGGCAAGCGGCCCGACGGCTCGGCCCAGTTTCCCACACCGCCCTCGAGCCCTTTCCAGGGCCAGGGTGCGGGTCAAACCGCGGCGGCCGACCAGCCCGTGGCAGCCGGCGCCGGCGCTGACGGGCCGCCCGAAGTGGCTGCCGCCGGGCCGCCCGCACCAGGTGAGAACTGAGGGGAACTTTTATTTATTTATTTATTTTATTTATTTATTTATTTTATTTATTTATTTATTTATTTACGGGAAACCCCATTACAAAAAAATATACATAAATATACAATTATTCATAGAGAATGAGCTTAAAACTAATAAATAAATATTCACTACATATTATATATGCCAGTAATTTCAAAACCCTTCAAAATATAGATTTGACAAGTTTTCTGAAGCTATTTAATGATCCATGAAGAATGTCTAAATCGGTTTCGTTAATTATTTTCAATGTTCTTTCAATGGGTGAATGTTGTCCATAATTTGTAGCATGGTGAGTTATTCGAAAGAGGTTTGTATTTCTTAAAGTTCTGTTTGGCACATTGAATTTAATTAACTCCAACAACTTACTTTTCACTTAACCTTTCCAATGAACAACTACCATTTGACGATGAATGCAAAAACTTGGGTGTCTGGTTCGAACAACAGTTACGATTCACAAAACATGTTAGCCATTTGTGTCAGAGCTCATTCAACGTGTTGAGACAATTATACCCTTCTAAGGACATTTTACCCACCTCGAAACTTGAACTAAATCTCTGCCAATCCTTGATTATCTCTAAGCATCATATTGTGACGCGGTCTACGGCCCTGCACTCTTGCGGAATGATGCCCACAGATTACAGCGAATTCCGAATTCCTGCATACGATTTTCCTATGGTATTCGAAAATATGATCACATAAGTGCAAAATTCAGGGAGTCCGGATGGCTGAGATTGGAAAAATTGAGGGAACTTCATTTACTCACTTTAACCCATAAAGTATTAACTACATCTTCCCCAACTTATCTAGCTGCTAAACTGGTCACATTCAGAAACTATAATAATGCGAGAACACGAAACAAAAATACCTTGGTTGTTCCAAAATTCAAAACCAGTTTGTATAAACGAAGCTGTTCATACACAGCTTCGAAATGTTATAACTCTTCACCAATTAATTTCCATAATTATAATATACTAAATGTCAAAAAGAAACTGAAAGCATTACTGAATGAGGGATAGGGATTTTGCTGCACTGTACAGAGTAGGCCTTTGAATACGAAACAGAGGCTCTGTAGGATGCCAAAACCGGATTATGAAAAAAATCTGATACACGTCAACTACATTTTCGAGAGGGACATCGTTCTAAACTATTTTCAGCCCTGCGGCGTTGCCGCTTCTAACGAAAAAAATGGGAACAACTTTTTTTTATTTCAAATGGAACACCTTGTATTTTATTGCATTTTTAGATTCTCCCCGGAGAGCTGATTTCATCAATGCATCACACTTGGGGTCTAGCTGTAATGGTTTCAGGGATATAAAGTGTTCAAAATCGAGATTTTTCAACTTCAGCATTTGTGTCGAAACTATTCATTATTGGTCAAGTGATTTACTATCTACTGACATTTATTTGAAACAAGAGGTGGTTCAAGATTCAGAATTCGGATCGGTGCTTCATGATTGACAGAGAATCAATACCGAATGCAAAGGATAGTCAATAGAGAACCTCTACGTACAGGGTGCGGTAGCATAATTTCTTTTTTTCAAAACAGAGCCGGCCAGAATCTTTCCCAGATTGCCTCATCTCAATTAGGGGCGATTTGGAGTGGCCGTTCTCCCGATTTGACCCCTTGTGGTATTTTTCTATGGGATTCTTTTGAAATCCCGTGTTTATTAGAACTGTTCCAAGGACCCTGCAAGATTTGAAACATCCAGGAAGAAATTGACAACTTATCGCCTGTTATTTTGTAAAGAGTCATGACAAACGCTAGAAATCGGTTTACTTAGTGTATGGAGGGTGGTGGAAGTGTCCTATTTGATTTGATCTTCAAAACGATGTAAAAAAAACTAGGTATCTTTCTACATTATAAATAATAAATGAAAATGTTCTGATTTATACAATGGGTTTTATAAAATTTTGGAAAAAAAGAAACTTATGCTGCCGCACGCTGTATTTCTGAATCTTTTCAGAATAAATTGATTGTAGTGTATCAAAAATTAATCTTATATCAGGTGCACAAACTGCAGCCAATCAACAGAGAGGCCCAGGAGGTCAGTTAGTCCCCACAAAACAAAACCGTCTCACCACCATGCCAAAACCATGCGGAATCGATCCGGTCATTCTTCTCCAAGAACGAGAAAACCGAGTGGCTGCCAGAATAGCTGCTCGTATCGAGCAAGTCAGCAACTTACCCACCGACATGTCAGACAAGCTGCGCATCCAAGCTCAGATAGAGCTCAGAGCCCTCAGGTGCCTGAACTTCCAGCGACAGCTCAGAAGCGAAATATTGAGCTGCATTCGTAAAGACACCACTCTCGAGACAGCTGTCAATATAAAAGCGTACAAACGTACGAAAAGGCAAGGTCTGCGCGAAGCTAGGGCCACAGAAAAACTCGAGAAACAACAAAAACTCGAAGCCGAAAGGAAGAGGAGACAAAAGAACCAGGAGTTCCTCAACTCGGTGTTGTCGCATGCGAAGGAATTCAAGGAGTTCCACAGGCAGAATCAAGTCAAGTTGGCTAAGATCAATAAGGCTATCATTAATTACCATGCAAATGCTGAGAGAGAACAGAAGAAGGAACAAGAGAGAATTGAGAAAGAACGTATGAGAAGGTAAGGTCTCATTTGATTAATTTTGTATGTTTGAGCTAATTTGTTTCTTCTCTTTAGATTGATGGCAGAAGATGAAGAAGGTTACAGAAAACTCATCGATCAGAAGAAAGACAAACGTCTAGCGTTCCTCTTATCCCAAACCGACGAGTACATCAGCAATTTGACAGAAATGGTGAAACAGCACAAGCTTGATCAAGCCACCAAGAAACGAGAAGAAGAACGACGAAAGAGGAAACAGCAGAAGATGGCGGAGCCTGACAGGAAAGTGACAGTCATCGAGAGGGAAACCGGCAACAAGTTGACGGGTGAAAACGCTCCCACCCTAAGACAGGCTCAGGAGTGGCTGCAGCAGCACCCCGGTTGGGAAATGGTCGACACAGACGATGAAGAAGACGATGAAGAGAGAAGGCGGAACGAAGCTGACAAGGAGATCGACGCGAAAGAGGTTATTTTTTACATTTTGTGTCATTTTAAAGAACTTAATTTTGAATACATGAGAAAGTATCTTGAATACTTCTGAGGGTTGCTTGTAAGGGGGCAACCGGAGGATGGATAAGAACAATTTTTTTTATACAAACGAAACAAACACAAAGTCAGTCGACCAAAACGTAAATACATTATCAATATCCATCTGCCTCAGCATCATATTATCTTGGTACTTGAGGATGATTAAAGCCTGACTGGCATTATATGAATCATGAAAATCATCCATGTCTCGAAGTGGTCCCAGTAGTTTCAAAAGAAGACAAACGAAAAAACACAAAGTCAGTCGACCACACTTTATAAACGTAAAGAACATTCACAATATGTATCTTCCTCCTATTTATTAGGTAGAGTGTCATATTTCACGGATGTGCATAACCTCAATATAAGGCGTCAAACCATTTTAACAATTCCAAGTTATTCCATAACTATATTCGGACTGTCTTCTTCTTATAACATTGCATCGAGTATCAAGAATCCTCAATAGATGACGAACCTCATTCAACAATAAATATAAAGGTATTCTTCTGAACACTCAATAGTCATTCTGATTTCTCTTCTACCTCTTTCCTCCTTCATCTGCATGATAGACTTGCCAACTGATGGAAAAACAGAAGTGGATGCGTTCCACATTCTGAACGTTTATGCCAATTGTTTGTCAAAAAGTATCTGTCACAATATCTGTACAATGTGTATCCATATATGAACAATAAATATATTATTATTATTATATTATATCCGTACTTGAGGATGATAAAAGCCTTACTGGCATTAGATATATCATAAACTGACTTCGTGTTTTTCGTTTGTCTTCTTTTGAAACTACTGGGACCACTTTGAGACATGGATGATTTTCATTATTAATGTATCATTGGAATAGTGGTAATTATTATAGTTATGTTGGCTCATCAAAAATTACAATTAATCCTCAAATTATTGGATTGGTAGAATTATTTCAACTGACAGTTGAATTCATGTAACATTCGAAATCATATATCATTTCAAATAGAATTTGATTTCCAAACAAACGAATTTTATGTTTCTTCAATTTCATTTAACACTTTAAATGCCAACTTTTGACATGCAAAGTAAATAAACTGGTGTATAATGAAATGTGCAATAAAAAGTAAAACGGCGATCCATAGGTCATCAATAAAGCGAAAGTGGAGGACGACGAATACCACAAGAACGCCATAGACGAGCAGAACTATTACAGTATCGCGCATACAGTGCACGAAATGGTTACGGAGCAAGCCTCAATTATGGTCAACGGCCAACTGAAAGAGTACCAGATCAAGGGTTTGGAATGGATGGTGTCTTTGTACAATAACAATTTGAATGGGATTTTGGCCGATGAGATGGGTCTCGGAAAGACTATACAGACCATCGGTCTAATAACGTATCTCATGGAGAAGAAGAAGCTGAATGGACCTTTCCTGATTATTGTTCCACTATCGTAAGTGCAATTTTCAATTTGATGATATAACAATGACTAATGTACCAGAAATATTTATTTGTTTAATTAGGCAGCAAAGTAATGAAGTGACTGCCGCGGCTGATAGTTCATCCGCGGCTGATAGAAATCCAGGCAAGGCAGTCAGTCTACTTATGAAACAACATTTTTTCTACAAATGTTATAAAACCAATTTTGTGTGAATTTTTTATTGAATACTCCATCATTTTGTGTTCACCCAATGTCAGTGACAATTTTGATTACCAATTTCATTCAAATTACTTGGAACGTTGCATAGCAACAAACATCTTCTGTCTAGGTAGAGAAAGTTTGCTGCCTGTCAGGTGTCATGGAAAAATTCACTAAGCCGCTCGGAAAAAAAATCACAGCTGTTTTTTTATACAGGGCAGTTCTCGAAGAGTTACACAGAAGTGGATTTCTGGCTTCAAAATATTACGTTTTGAGCCACATTGCCTTTGTGAAATATCAGTTATCAATACACAATGTGAAAATTGGAATCCAATAAAAATTTTATTATTATCATTATTGAAAGAGTGCTCGATATCGAAAATAAGTGTGTAACTTGTGAAATGTTTGTGTGTCCTGCCATGCCTTGACTCATTTCATTCTGCTTGATTTCATCGTTATGTTCCTTAACACAAACCTCATTAATGTATATGTATTTTAGAGCTGGTGCTGGTAAATACCAAATTTATAATTTTCCAAACCCAAAACCTACTATTTCTGAATGAAAAACATTGGAGTTATTGCAAAAATATGATTTAAGAACTCTCATTCTCATTTGCACGTATTTGTCTTGTTAGCAATAGGGAAGTTGTCTCAAACTGTAATATTTTGAAATAAAAAGTCTACAATATTTTTACAAACATTGAATAAATACTATATATTTTCAGAACTATATCGAATTGGATGTTGGAATTCGAAAAATGGGCGCCGACAGTCATTATTATAGCATACAAAGGATCACCAGTTGTAAGAAGAACGTTACAAAATCAAATGAGAGCAGGAAAATTCAATGTTCTTCTAACTACTTACGAGTATATTATTAAAGACAAAGGTGTCTTAGCAAAGGTAAAAATCACATTCCTATTCCTTCCATAAACAACAGATTACTAATGAGTTCCATTTTTGCAGTTGCCTTTCAAGTACATGATAATAGACGAAGGTCATCGTATGAAAAACCACCACTGCAAATTGACTCAAGTCCTGAATACGCATTATCTAGCTCCGTACCGCCTATTGTTGACCGGTACCCCATTACAAAATAAGCTTCCTGAATTGTGGGCTCTACTCAACTTCTTGCTGCCGTCTATTTTCAAAAGTTGTTCCACTTTTGAACAGTGGTTCAATGCCCCGTTTGCTACGACAGGAGAAAAGGTATCAAGCAGTGCAAGAGTATTTAAAAAAAATAAATAGTAGTTTAAAGAACTAAAGAAATACCCTTTTGTAGATAGCCAAACTGAAATGGAAAATAGAATGATGAAAGTGTGTTGATTATTTCAGGTGGAACTCAATGAAGAAGAAACCATTCTAATCATCCGACGTCTTCACAAAGTACTTCGCCCTTTCCTCCTAAGGCGTCTCAAAAAAGAAGTAGAGTCCCAATTGCCTGATAAAGTCGAATATATTATCAAATGTGACATGTCCTCTCTACAAAAAGTGCTTTACCAACATATGCAGAGCAAGGGCGTTCTACTCACAGATGGCTCTGAAAGAGGCTCTAAAGGTAACTTGACAACACCAACATGATCATAACTCTACAACTATTTTTTTTCCTCATGTCATCTCATAACAGTATGGGAACTCACAATAAAATATTTAAATAAAGTCTGTTGAAATCAAATTGGGGAAACTTTCGGAATGGAGATATAGATATCAAATTAACGTGAACTAACAACCAGCACCACTACCAGATTTTGAGATATTGAGACTTTAGAAATATGTTGTATTTGACCCACTCATTTCAAGGATTCAATGTGGATTCGTCGTTTTTGTCATTTTTAATCAATATTTCAGAAAAAAATGCATCAAATATATTTTCTATAGAATTATTGATCGGTAATAAATTATGAGAGGCAAAAACGGTAATCACGAGGGATATTATATTGCCCAAACATGGAAGTTGTGAAAATTATTCACTATATTTCGCGAAAATATGACTTCATTGAGGTCAGGATGAGTTTTTTGGAATTTATAATGTTATGATGTTGATGTATGTATACTTGCTACCTTCTGGTCGTCAGGAGTTCTATATTCTGTTGAAATAAATGCGCCACTTTTGAAAACACCCTATATACATATTTCTATGCAATGGAACAATTCTCATTTCCCACATTCTCTTTCATTCCATGAAGAAAGGGTGGAGCCAAAGGGCTCATGAACACGATCGTGCAGCTGATGAAGATCTGCCATCCGTTTATGTTCCCGAAGGAACGTCAAATTTTGAATGAGGGGAAAGACAAACGTTCATGTGAATTCAATGTAACGTTATTCGTCGTTTTTTGTAATTCTAATATGCATCAGTCAAGAATATTCTCAATTGTTATTGATTGGTTACAAATTATGAAGGAAAAAAATGGATTTGATTTCGTGCCACCTTGTTATTACTTTATTCGTTCTCCATGCAACATAGGAGTTTTTCTATTTCTCAAACCTGGAAGTTATGACAATTATTTATTCTATTTCGCGTGAACTTGGCTTCGTTGAGATCACGATGAGTTATTTGTTATATTCACTGTTATGGTGTTGATGTAGGTATGTTCTGGACGTCTGGAGTTCTATATCCTGTTGTAATAAATGCCACGTCTTCGAGTACCGCTTGTTACTCATTTTTTCCATTCTCATTTATTCTATAAAGGAAAGGGCGGAGCCAAAGCGCTCATGAACACCATCGTGCAGCTGAGGAAGCTCTGCAACCATCCGTTCATGTTCCCGAACATCGAGGAGAAGTACTGCGACCACGTGGGCATCGCGGGCGGCATAATGTCCGGCCCCGACACCTACCGGGCCTCTGGCAAATTCGAGCTGCTAGATCGTATTTTGCCAAAACTCAAAACGACCAATCACCGAGTGCTGCTCTTCTGTCAGATGACGCAGCTGATGACCATCATGGAGGACTATTTGAACTGGCGCGGGTTCAAGTATCTGCGGCTGGACGGTACGATCAAGTCCGAGGACCGAGGGGACTTGCTGAAGAAGTTCAACGACAAGGATAGCGATTACTTCTTGTTCTTGTTGTCGACGAGGGCTGGCGGGTTGGGGCTCAACTTGCAGACTGCTGATACTGTTATTATTTTTGATTCTGATTGGAATCCCCACCAAGTAAGTGCAGAAAAGTAGGATCCTAGTTTTCCTTAGGCCGTAAACATCTTGGAGCAGCGACAATAGCAATGAAAGCATCAAAAGCTACTAAATTATCTTTCCTCCATGCATTCATGTTGAAGCTTTAATACTAGTATAGTTCAAGTTGGTCACTTCACTAACTTTAAGCAAGGATCACCGACATCTCACGAATTTTCATTTCCAAATTTGTTATTGAAAAGATCTTGAACATCAGACAAGAGAACCAACAAATTTTTCTTATGGAATAAATAAGAGGTCCGATATCGATAGACCAGCTAATACTCACTGCACAATATGTTAGATCAGTTATTCTGATAGGGAATGAATTATGTTCCTGAAAAAAGTGTCATTGTTCATTTGGCATCTATACTAAATATGGCCCTGAGAGCTAAATCATTGGTCTTAGATGATTGGGCCCGTAAGAACATATGCGATCAGAAACTTGATACCAATAACATATTTTAATTTCAGGCAAATCCCATTGAGGGCCAATACCCTATGCTTTTGTGCGCGGTTCTTTCTGCCATAATACTTGTCATTACGTTAAGAACATCTGTTGGGCCCAGAAGGAATTGATTATCATCCTATGTGGCAATTTACTTGTTTTTTTTTTCAGAGGAGATAGAATTTGTTTATTATGAAGATAATGCATACATTATAAAAGAAAATATTACAGGAATCTTGTGAAGATAACAAACAGAAAATTGATAAAAATATCATTAATACGCTAATGATTGATTATGAATTTGATCACTAATATCTATTTGCCGTGGATATGATTTTACGCTTTCACTCCTGATTTAAATTATTATAATACGCTTCTCGGGTTAAGATCGCAGCGCTGCGGACGGTGAGAGTTGAAAGCTATCTATGGGCCATTAAATGTTGTTTACTTTCGAGTTTAGCATGCGAAGAAGCGAGGTTCATTTTTGATTTGTGGTGATTTATTGTGATATATCTTTTGTGGGCTATTCAGGATTAATTGTTTATGTTATTTGATTATCCAGGTATGTTATCACACCTGAACTTGAATTATTATTAAGTAAATTCTACATATTTTCAGACATGAAGTTCAGCACCGTAGTGTACATGACAAACTTTTGCCAAATTTCTTGATGGAACAGCTCTAGGCTTCAATGTCCTATGTTTAACTCTTTCTAGAAGATGAAATAAACTGTTAAAACATATAAAGATATCCATTAATTTTTTTAAGTTGATTTTTTTATTATTTTCATTTTCTTGACAGTTTGACACCTACCTTTCTGATGAAAATCAGCGAAATTTAAAGAACACACCCTCATGTGGATAAACTTTATCCACACTTGTCTCCTATCAATTTTCTCCTTATTTTCCAACTTTGTTTCTACAAAAACATTATGTTGTCCTGCTCTAGGAAACGTATGAAAACTTAATTCAGTTTTTTTTTTTCACCAAAGATGAACATTGGGGAACACAACAATAATGATACATTCTGAAAAATATGAAACTGGCAAATATCACAAAAACTAGTATATAACAATGTCTCTAACGTTGAAATACACCTCAAACTAATGGGAATTACGACGATTGACAGATGATAATGGCCCATAGGTCGGTTCCCTCTATGTCGCTTATCCCGAAATATGTATACTCCACGTTGAGGAACCACGGACTTGGCCAACGTTTTAGTTATCACGATGTATTCGTAGGATTTACAAGCACAAGATCGCGCCCATCGTATCGGCCAAAAGAACGAGGTGCGAGTGTTGCGTCTGATGACGGTCAACTCGGTAGAAGAACGCATCCTCGCTGCTGCCAAATACAAGCTCACCATGGACGAGAAGGTCATCCAGGCTGGCATGTTCGACCAGAAGTCGACCGGCTCGGAGCGGCACCAGTTCCTGCAGAGCATCCTGCACAACGACGGCAGCGACGAGGAGGAGGAGAACGAGGTGCCCGACGACGAGACTGTCAACCAGATGGTTGCGCGGACGGAGGACGAGTTCCAGCTGTTCCAGAAGATGGACACGGAGAGGCGGGCGATAGAAGAAAAGCTCGGACCTTACAAGTAGGTGGCATTCGATTTTAGCATGACCGCTGAGGAAACTGATCAAATGAGGTCGCAAAGTGATGAATTGTTGCTCGACAAAGAGAGTTACCGTGCGAAGCGCGGTAATCTTTGAAGAGGCAATGTTCTTCAAATGATGAATGGCTAGCTGAAATGCTTCGGTTTTCCTTGATTGTAGTGGTAAGCAATCATAAAGTACTGGTCCGTTGTAGATATCTTTTGTAGAATGATGAATGGATAGCAATTTACCTATTTTCAAATAATCTAAATGCTTCAATTTTTCTTGATTGTAGTGGTGAGCAATCATAAAGTTCTAGTTTGTTGTAGATTATCTTTCTACATCGTTTTTTTGGTAAAGGTTATTTTATTCTCAATTTTGGGAGGATTGAGTGTTATGATTTGATCGCATATATTTGTCACGATTCTTGTGATGATTTCTAGCAGGTGGTTTCCATAATAACTTTACTATGCTTGCTATTGCAAGTTACGGTAGGTCTGAAAACAAGCGAACATCGTACAATTACTATAGTTTTCCATTGGGTACCGAAGAGCTGTGTCAATTAATAATCATTTTCAGTTGAACTTGAAAAAAAAAAGATTTCTTCTTGAGTGTTAGTTTTATCTTACTGCCTTTCTAATTTTGTCAAATATATTTATATATTCATCATGTTCCCTGCTATAAACAAATGTTGTTTCTTGGGAATGATGGAGTTGATTGATTGATTATCCATAGGCATTTGCTCATCTATCACTTTTTAGTATGATTCAACGACTACTACAACAAGTTTTCAATATTGTAAAAATGACAATATGAGTGGAGTAGTAAAACTCCCAGTCATCTCCACAATTATTATAAACTTTTTTTTCATGTTCTGGTTCCCACGAAAAGGGGTGCGAAGCCTCAACTCGACGTGTTAATCTCGCGGGGAATGCCAAGGGAGGAACAATTGTTGATATTTCAGAAGAGCATCGTCCATGAAAATATCTATAAAATAGAGACAGATCGCCAACTTTGAGATACTATGGGCTTTTACTACAGATTAGACAATATGATTATTGTATCGTGCGTAAAATCAGCCGTCCCACAAATTTCATAGCTATGTTGATATGTCGTCTTAGTTTGCGGTGAATAAAATTTCTCGTTAGGCGTGGTGACAGTTCCAGAATTGCAGTAAACGTTAATTCGCGGTAGCCAAGGTCATCATCTGACGTTGCGATGACATAAAAACTACGGGGAAAATGTCTAACTTTCAATTTAAGCCAGGTGTCAAGAATGTTTTCCCGTAGTTTTCATGTCATCACAACGTCAGATGATGACCTTGGTTACCAATCAGCTGAGATAATGAACTTGGAAGGTGTGTTTCTGGAAGATTGGAATTTATTAGTCTTGTTTCCTGCACCTGGATAATATTTCTTTGCGTGTGCATCACAAGAAAATGATTCTAGACCAGATGTTTCAGTGAAGCAGTGGCGTGCTGATTTAAAAATTGTCACTGACAAGCTAGTGAATTTTTCTTTTAGGCTCTGTGATAGTAAATTTTTTTAAACGCAGTGACATTTTGGAGCCATATTCATATTTTTATTTTATAGAAACGAGAAGAGAAAATCCCAAAAAATCTGGAATAATGAATGTACCACCTCCTCGATTTACCTACAGACAGTATTAAAATATTTTAAATTTGATTATATGAGGCAAAAGTACACTTCAGGTATTTCACAAGAATGCTATTTCGGATTTTGGATAAAATGCCTATGATTGGATTTTTTTTATTTCTCTTCCATATTACTTCCAGAAAATACAGGCTGATCCAAGAGTTAGTTAAGGCTGAATGAGTGAATCTTTCTCGTCCGATTATGGAGCTAGCGGCGTCAAGATGAAAAAAGTTATATTGTTTAGTTTCATGATTATGAATTTCAGAATTCCGTATCAAAATAATATTCGACTTCAATTTTTTATTTATGATATTATATGATATTTTAAGAGTTTCAATTCTATATATTTCATCTAGACAATACGTATTTGTTATTTCATACAATTGATTGGTTGGTGTATCAAATGTAAATACACTTCAAATATTTTACAGAAATGCCATTTCGGATTTTGAATAAAATGCTTATGGTTGGATTGATTTTATTTCTCTTCTATATTACTTCCAGTTGGATTGATTTTATTCCTCTTCCATATTACTTCCAGAAAATACAGGCTGATCCAAGAGGGCGAACTACCCGACTGGCTGATCAAGGAGGACGAGGAGGTCGAGACGTGGAGCTTTGACGACCCCGAGGCGCTGCTCGGCCGTGGAACGCGCCAGCGGAAGGAAGTCGATTACGGCGACAGCTTGACGGAGAAGGAATGGCTGAAGGCCATCGACGAGGACGGAGATTACGATGACGACGAGGAGGAGGAGAAAGAGGTATTCTAGAATTTGGAATGGACGAGTGGACTGATAATGAGTTATTGGTATTCAATGGGGAAGTTTCCTATATTGAGGTCCTTATCTCACTGTGAAGTTTGTAAATCCACATTCACACAGAGTTAAAATACGATTCTCTGTGTCAGTAGGACGTTGCCGACATCATCAATATGTCTAGATTTCCGAAAGTTGTTCTTTGAATGCATAATCATAATCATAACAGCAATGGAATATAATAGGTTCTTCAATGCTACTTTGTCAAGTATTATGAATAATTCCCATAAATATCTCATTGGCTGAATGAAGTTGATTACCAATTATGATATTTTGCAATGGAATCTATAATTTTTCACTATTGATATATTACAACATGTTATTTATAACTGGTCAGTTATTTTTTTGCTAATGAATTCGTTCCTTAAATGAAATGGATCTATTCTCTAGGAAAGTTACAGATTATATCTTGCAACAGCGCCTAATACTTCAAATTTGTCCACACTAAGATTCCACACCACTCAAAATACTGACAGGCACAACAAGGAAAGGAACCATGGGTGTCGGCTTCATTCTGTCATGACGATAGCAGGAAGTTAGGATGGATAGTATCATTGAATGTAGCCGATAGTGATTCATTGATTAAATGATACTTTCGTTTAGGATCCAGCTCTATTCGAGATACTTCAATGCATAAATAACAAAATCATAACCTGTCAGAATGAAGCCAACTACCTTCTGCATTCTTGCTCCGACTGCATTTGTGGTTATGTATGTTTTTGTTTTTACTTCTTCTATTTTTTTCATTCGTTAGCTATTCGTTAGCTATTGGCTAGCTATATTCTTCACCTTCAGGTATTTTCAGACTAGATCCAGAATGCACGTCACAGTTTGCCGCCCCGAAAATTAGAAATTGCTTCAATTTGAAAATGAAAACGACTTGGACATTATCGGTCGCCATTCTGTACAGCGTGGACATAAAACTGGAGAGTTCCGAACTTATTTATTGAAAATTCTTCTGAAGGAAACTTCCCCATTACTCCACTGTGTCGTTAGGAACCTAAATTGATGTTTGCAACCCTCCTCACGCTTTTCAAACGTTCCGTCTTGGCCGCCATTTGGCGATACGTCGAATAAATGGTGACGTCAGTTTTTATGCTGTTTCGTTATTGGTCAGATAATCTTTCATTCCGACTCATGAAGCAAAATTTTCCAGTCCCAATTTGAAGTCCTGTCATTGAATAAAATATAATAGGAGGAACCCATGATATTTTAGTTCATTCTCGACTCCATAACAAAATATCATGTGAATGTTGGAGACTTGGCAACATTGTGCTGAATGCTGAGAACTGACAAGAGCACGCCCACAGTTCGTGCGCCGTGTTGTCACGTTTACCGATTCAAATATCTTCTAGTGTGAATTATTATTATTATTATGAGCAATAAGCCACAAATCATAAGGGAACATTTTGAGACAATTGATTGTTTATTGCTGATTAGGATTATTACCAATACATAATTGAGAATTTATGAATTATGAATAACTAATATTCCCAAAGTTCCCAATCGCAACCGTGCTATGGTCTGCCCCTAATAATGTGATCGTCGCGTCGGTTTTTACTCGCTGCAAATTTCCAGCCGGTTGAAAATTACCGTGGCATTATTGATGATTTCAGCACCATCGACCGAAGAAATCTTTAAAAAAATATGAAATTGAAAGGTATTTGAGTGATGAATCTATTCTGGAAATAAAAAATATTAGTCCACTCGCTTATTCTTTTCTGATGACGTCACATGAGTGCAAACAGTAAATGCAACTTGATGTTATTATAGCCTGTTCATAAGATAAAGCATTCTTCTTGTGGCAAAGTTCGATCACCATTAACCAACTTTATGTTATTTACAAAATTTCAGTTTGCTATCATCACCCTGGGTTGCATAATACAAGGCTCTTATAATTGATTCTAGCATCGAAGTGGCCATTGAAATAATTTGCCAAAAAAATTATTTCAACGGAAACTATGATTATAAATAGAAACTCTGAATTTGGAAGCATTGTCGCTAAGCAATAGGACGAAGATGTCGAGTGCTTTTGCTTGAAGGCAGCAGTGCTCGGGTATTCATACAGGTCAGATCGAAGTTGAAACAATTGTGATCAGAATATCAGGTGGAGTTTTATTTGTGTAGATGAACAAGTTCGCTTTTTAACACAAATATCACATTTTTCATGTCCTTAAGGAATTGTCATAAGAAGGAAGAAGAATACTTGGTGGGAATTTTTTGATGTCCTTTTCTATAGTGCTACCTCCGATTCCTGGTATATCCCTTTCAATACTGACGAAATTGACAATTTGGATGCAAGCAAGGCTGTCAATGAGGACTAACATTATTATTGTCCACCAGATCGCGCTATTGAAACGTGAGGTCAGTGTTGGTAGAACTGATGAAGATACTTATTCTTTTCATGTCATGTGAGAATTGGTCTCTAGTCTTTCCATAACTTGACGTTTTCTATTATTGATAAAACAGACCACAGCGTTTTGGGCTATCCGGCAAAATTTTGGGATTTTTGACTTTGACATTAACCTCACTTTTATTATTAACGCCAACTGGTGAGACTGAAAACGTTTGCCCTCATTGTATCAAATACATATAAAAAGTTTTGGAAATCTCTATTATTTTGTAGTGTTATTGATATCATGCAAGGGAGATATTTTTCAATACCAAGAAAATATGATAACAATCAACTGCATTATTCCCAATAAATAATATTTGTTCATTTCAGGGAAGAGATAGTAATAGTTATATATTATACACACTGTAGATAGAAAACTCCTGTGTAAAAATTGACAAACGCTCTGATGCAACGTAATAGACCGGTGGCTAATCGGGGTGGCGGAAATTTGATCGAAAGACAAATGATAGAAAAACATTTGATAGAAGTCTTTTGATCGAAAATCAAAAAATATAAGACCTCTTCACCGAAAATACATTTGATTGAATGTTTTATGATAGAAAATACAATTGATAGAAAAAATATCTGATAGAAAATACACTTGATAGAAATAGCAATTGATAGAAAATTCATTGGGGTTACGCTCAAGTTAGGTCAGTTCGTTTGTGAAGATATAATCCTTCCTCATATATTTGAGAAGAAGGAGCTAGACGTTTGTGGTATCAATAAATTCATAAGCTTCGATTACCATCTAGCTCCTTCTTCTCAAATATATGAAGAAGAATCATATCTTCACAAACGTACTGACCTAACTTGAGCGTAGCCCCGTTGAATTTTCTTACAAGTGTATTTTGTATCAAATATTTTTTCTATCAATTGTATTTTCTATCATTTATGTTTCTATCAAATGTATTTTCTATCATAAAACATTCGATGAAATGCATTTCTATCAAAAACACTTTCGACTTATATCAAATGTTTTTCTATCATTTGACTTTCGATCAAATTTCCGCCACCCGGCTAATCGACTGTGATGGTTCGTTGTACAAATATTAATATCGGAGTCGGTGAAAGACACGGCGTTCTAATGAATAGATGCGCACAGTGGATTCCCACCGCTCTGTTACATCCCAACTGAGCATTGCTCATTCTTACATACGGTATCTATCTAAAGTGGTATCTATCTAGAGTGTGTATGATCTTTGGTGATGATATAGCAGGTGAAAAAGAAGAGAGGAAGGAAGAAGAGAAAGAGGGATGAATCGGACGATGACACGGCTAGTAGCAGTGGAAGGAAAAGGAAGATACCGCATAGTCAGTCAGAGGCGAAGATCAAGAAAAAGATGAAGAAGCTTATGAGCGTTGTTATCAATTATACTGATAGGTATGCCGTATTTTGTATTGATGAAAATGGTCTACCAATGAGACAATAAGAAAAAATTGTTCCAAAGAATTAATTATTTATATGGTGGAGGTTTATTCATTCATTTAAGTTTTTTTCACTTGTTTTTTTTTTCATGATTTCGATAGTGTTTTTCACATTTTGATCGTTTTTTTTTTGTCAATTTAGAGATGAACGGCAGTTGAGTGATCAGTTCATCAGGTTGCCACCACGTAAGGAGTATCCAGACTATTATACAATAATAAAGAAGCCAATAGATATAACCAAAATTATGAATTACATCGAGGATGGAAAGGTAAGTCGCTATAAGGAATGTAATATTATAATTATATTTTTGTATTGAGATACATGATGCAAGTCAACTTATCATTCATCATTGTATTCAGAAAAAATCTCGAACAGGAACAATAATGCAAAAAACATATGAGTTTCAATATAGAAAAATAAAAGTTGACAGTCGCTGACGTTACAGTTGAAATTGTGAAAAACACAACGATTAGAGCCTTCTCTTCATATCAGATGAGCAATTTCATTGCTTTTTTTTTTGATTTTCAAAATCGAATAATTAATAGCGGAGTTATGAATGGCTTGGCGTGTTTTGTCAGTCAGCCTGCATGTGGAACCAAGAAGTTGAGACTCAATTTGATTCCTGATCATGGGATAGTCTTGTTCCTTTTGTTTATCTCTTGGAGCGCACGAAAGGGTATCGCTATAATGTTCGAACAACATCCTGCTTACCCAGGAAGCATAGAGAGAGGTATTGGAAGTTTTTTGAACATTTGTGTCTATAAGTTCTGTTCGACGTATTTTGAGGTTGACAACAAAAGGAAATTGACTAGGATAACAGACATTTCTGAAGAACACTTCCCTTGGAAATATCTATATAATAGTGAAAAGTCGGCGACTTTCCTACAGTATTTCATTAGTGTCAAATATAGTGCTCCACAAGAAGTCGGACACCTGAAATTTTTGCTCAGATTCGCAAAAATTTAACGATATCAATACGGTTTTCATATTTCGGAAGCTCATTTTACTGTCTTCAGAACCATGAATTCAAAAAAGAAAAAATAACAGAATAAATATTTCACAGAGCGATGAATGGCACACTGCAATCTTGCATCGAATTTCAAGTGATTCCATTCCTTCCAACATTTTCGTCTGGATTCCTCAAATTGTATCATGGAGTTTGATGTCATATCTCGAAAAAGAAAAAAGACGCTAATATGGATTCTAGATTTTTCAGCCTCTGAGTGTGATCTAGAAGACCTTTGTTTTTACACCTTTTCCCCCTCTACATTTAAAAAAATATCGTTAAAATTGTTCCATATGACGGGCTATCGGGAATGATTGTTTACCGAATGTTGACAGTAAAGTTGTCATAGGTTCTCAAAAACACAAAGCGTTGGCTGAGCCAGTTAACACAACTAGAACAAGGATCCTGAAATCATCTCTTAATACTTCTTCGCTATTTTATTGAATACAACTGTAGCGCCTCCTCGATTAACCTACAGACAGTGTTTAATTGAACTTCTCCATTTTGTTATTATCATCCTCCAAGACTCGATCGTTGATTCGTTGCAGTACACCGAATTCTCGGACCTCGAGCGCGACTTCATGCTGCTCTGCCAGAACGCGCAGATCTACAACGAGGAGGCGTCCATCATCCACGAGGACAGCATCGTCCTCCAGTCGGTGTTCTCTAACGCCAAGCAGAAGCTGGAGGCCGCCTTCGATTCGGAGGACGAGAAGGAGGACAATAACTCCGACGGGGAGGCCACGCCGCGGTCGAAGGGGAAGGGCAAGTCGAAGAGACGGCCCGGCAGGCCGAAGAGGTCCGCCAAGAAGTACGTGTCGGATGAAGATGATGACGAATAGGTTGTGGCGCTGGGAGAGAGAGAGGTGGTGAAGCAAGTTGATTTTCATTTGGATTTTTTTTTCTTATTTTTGATTGTAGCTGGATTTTATACACAATAATTCTCAAGATGGTAATGTATAAGTACAGTGTAATTTATAAAGTCGGCATCATATCATGAGAAACACTTTCATTAATAATTTATTAAAAAAAAAATGAAAAATTGACTAGGTACTCGGTTGTGGTCTCGTGACTTTCGCTACATGTCAAAAGTTGAATTTTTTTCAAATTAATCGCTGAATTTCGAAAGAGTGCTGAGGACAGATGTTTCTATTCCAATTTTACATATGTGTCACGAATTTGAACGTTCTACAACAACTTCTAGTTTTTGATATTTTCTCAGTTTCTACAAAATGTCTGTGATATTAACACAAATGAACAGTGACAAAACTAATTCGATTTTCTTCAGAAAATAGTAATCCTTCCTTCAAATTTCTGTTACGTCTTATCATTCAGGAGCGACATTTAATTAAATTTAATTTTTTTATCACTAAAATGATGCCAAAATCATCTATTGAAATATCATCAAACTACTTTACGTATCTTACCAGAGTTTAGGGCATTTTTGTCAAAGTTACAATTAGAAAAAATTGAAAAAATAAGAACTAAAAGTTGTAATAGAACGTTCAAATTCGCGACAAATGTGTAAAATTGGAATAGAAACAACTTTTCTCAGTTAACTTTTCTGGAATTTGCACAAATGAGCTTATTTTCAGCGATTAATTTGAAAATATGTAACTTTTGACATGTAGCAAAAGTCACGTGACTTCCGACCGAGCCATTTTTCATCTCTTTTGAAGCAAAACTTGATGCCCAAGTCGAATTTCAAAATAAATTATTGAAAGATTTTCCCATATGATGCCAACTTTATGAATGACGCTGTAGACTGAGAGCCAGCGATCGGCAGACTTACGGTATGTTAGCAAACTCCATATTGATGCTAGGTATACTATTTCACCTGCCGTAGGTGAAATGGGAATGCATGTCTGCCATTTGAATATCCTAAAGTACAGTGTGTCCAGTTTTCCATGCTTTTGCGTGATATCTCAGTTATCTTTGGAGATATAGAACCTTGCAGTTTTCGCGGTTTTGTGCCACTTTTTTGTGAAACTCAAGATGGTCTAATCAGATTTTGCAGAACTGTTCTCGTTTATGAGATACAGGGCGAATTTGAAAATTTATACTTTTTGAATCCCCTAAATAGATACGAAGTTTCTCGGCGAAAATGTCAAATTGAAATCTCGCGCGCACAATTTTTTTTTCGGGGTTTGATTTTGGAGATACGACTCAAACTTGTGATTTTTAAAATGAAACACCGTGTGATTCATAAGCTAATTAAATTCCTATGTTTTTTCCTTCAAAATGATATACAGTATGATGCAAATGTATGGAATAAATTAATTTCAAAACAAGACGACTTTCGAAAAAAAACAAAAACTAGAGTTTAGAACTTTTTTTCGGCGTATTTTTTTAACTAGACGACCCTTAGATGTTCAATTCTCAGTAGCAGAACTCTGCAAGATTCAATTAATCACATGATAATCCATTTTAATTTCAATCTTCTTATGCAACATTTTGACTGTTGAATAGACGATCGGTAGACCTTTCAATCAAGGTGTCACATGACCCCTATTTGTATTTGAAAAAATCGTCCATTACGTCTTTACTCCAACACCGGTGACGTAACATCTCTCATATGAATATCATGAGATGAGGCTTCAGAAATTAAAACCCACGTGTTTTTGGAATTTTTCCAAATGTCGCCCATTTCTGAAATGATGAATTTATTCCATACATTTGCTTCATACTGTATAATTTATAAATATAAAATTTTCAAAAAGGTCCCAAAATCACTAAAACATTGAATTTCAATAGTGGGCTATAGATTTTACATATAAAAAAAGTTCCAATTATTGAGGGAATATTTCTTTTCCATGAAGAGGATAAAAAAAAAACAACACTAACTAACAAAATGCAAAACATAGGCACGTGATAGCAACAGATACATAGTAATGAAAAGTTCATAATGGAGAATACATGACTATTCCGCCTATGAGTCTTCTTCTAAACATATATATTATGTATAATGATAGTATAAATATTATATTTGAATTCCAGCTTCGAAATTCAATAAAATATACTTGGAACCAGGACAAGTGTTTGCCATTGAATTTTTCAATAAAAAAAAATGTACAGGATATTGAAAGGGCAGACATGCTGTGATCACGTATTTGAAAGATTTTTTCATGTTTTATGACCTCTGTATAAGCCCAAAGGAACCGTCGACGGGGATACTGAATTCCTATTTCACCTACGGCAGGTGAAATAGTATACTTAGCATCAATATGGAGTTTCCTAACATACCATAAGTCTGACAATCACTGGCTCTTGGACTAATAGTTATATAATTTAGATTCTATTTTTCCATTCTTGATTCGTTTACAGTGTGTTTCATTTCTCTCAGGATTAGTCTTCAAGAACACATTCTCATCCAGCGGGGTAGTTTCAAATTGCCTCTTTTTATATAGTTTATGCCAATGAATAACAAGATGAGAACTATATAATTTACATTTTATTTATCCATTCTTGAATCGTTTTTTATATTAATTCTAGGATTTGTCCTCAAAAACACATTATCATCCAGCAGGGTGGTTTACCATTGTATTTTTTTAATTCCTGCTAGTGGTAAACAATTTTGATAATTAGTAATAAGCATAACTTTTTGTTCTATTGGAATTGGATTATCCTCTGAACATTATCAATTATTATTCTTCAATAGTTTTCCGACTATCAAAAAATAATTCGAATTCCTGGGAATACAAGTTGAATACCCGTCCACTCAACATTAAAAATACATGAAAAAGGCGTATCCTCAAAAGCAGAGTGTCGTATTTGTACTTTTGAATCCAAATACACTAAGAATATCGATGTTCAGGGTGATTCAAACTTCCCGCCCGTGGCTTATAAAAAGGGAAGGAAAACTGTATATGCAAATGTTGCAGGGGGAATTGAATAGCTGTATGTAAGGTATATTCTTTAGTATTCAAACATTTTCCAACCTCTTTCAAAATAGCGGAAACGACGTCAAAAAATTATTTTGTTCACAAAGTTACCTTTTTTTCATATTCAGAAAGAACATATTTTTCTAAGCAACTTCCATCCAAAAGGTTTTTTGTATCTCCATTTGGTTGAAACCTATGGGACGAACTGCATATCATTTGTTACCTGGCTGACTTGATTTTTATCATGGTGGCAAATTTTTCAGTGTCCCATGGCTTTTAACCAAATGAAGATAGTTGAAAACTTTCTGGATGAAAGTTGTTTAAAAAAATATTCTTTCTGGATATTAGAATACAAGGTAACTTTGTGGAAAGCATCATTTTTCTGACGTCATTTCCGCCATTTTGAAAGAGGTTGAAAAATGTTCAAATACAAATAAATATACGCTACACACAGCAATTCTAATCTCCCTGCCAAATTTGCATTTGCAGTTTTCTTTTTCATGTTATATGACCCGGTACATACTCTATCAGTAGGAAAAGTGTTTCATAAGAAAACTTGAAGGTTTAAATCAAACTTTCAATGATAAAAATCGAGTATGTGCATAATGAGGGCTAACATTATTTATTGTCGACCACATCGCGCCATTGAAACTTGAGGTCAGAGTTGCAAGATCTGATAAATATACTTCTTCTTTTCGTGTCGTTTGGCCTCTTCCTTTGATATTTTCTTCTTTCAGTTCAAAGGATGAAATAATCCGACCGCGAAGGTGACGAGATTTCATTGCGACATGTGAACTCATATTTTCCATAGAGATTTGAAACACACTGTATTTCACTTACTTGATCAATTTACTAAAACAATGATGAATTGACTAAGGCCTCTAATAGTAGCATACTTGACAGATGAATCTAATAAAAATATGAACGGTGAAATTAAATTGTATTAATTCTCCTGAAGATGCTATAATAGTTATTGAAACACGTGAAACAGTGATTATGCCAAAGCTTCCAACCTTCGATCAGAATGTGTTGGCTATATCTTTATACAGTCATGTGACCAGAAAAGCCTAACCTCAATATAGATAAAAACAGCAACGCCAAAAAGTTGAAGTATTTCTACTCCATCGTCTGTCAGATATTTCTTAAATTCCGCGTCACCATCAATCAGGGTACATGACTTGCGAAAAGCAAAAATTCTGTCCTGAGAACTGAACATTGTATAGTGACTCTTTTAATCCCGCGAGTAGAGCTTGTTTCCTTAGAGCAAAAACCACTCAAAGAATCAAGTATCTTCAGTCAAATGGTAATAACAGTTTATTTTGTGCACTTTCATCAATACATTCAGGTAGCCTCACTTTTTCAATGTTACAATTCAATTTGACAAATACTTGTTTGATATTTTGTCAGTTTCCTCCGAATCAATAGAGTAACTTCCAGCAATGATTCCCTTCAACTCCTAGGGTTTGTCACTACATATTCAGATACCATGTATATAGGGACTGAAAGTAAGGCTTATTCAGTCCCGGAAGTGCGAAAAGATTCTAATAATATATAAGAAACAAGAGATGATAGCTATGATATTCAGAAAATGATTTCGAAAAAACATCGGTAATGGGGTTGTACACACTAATCGAATTCACGCAGGGCCTACTGTATCTCACCGGGCCGTAGTCTATCCCCTCTCTCTCGACGCTGACGTCACACTAGTAGGTTGAGATTTCACATCAGTCCGTAATGATGCGTTGGTAATTGATAGGCTATAGCTCATTTACTATAAATTTTAGAAGCACACTCAATCGAGACGAAATGATCCCCAACAAATTCCTCAACTTCTGGTGAAAAAATGAATCCAATAGGATGAATCAATACCGAGTTATGGCGTTGTAACGAAATTCCATTTTATTGAAAATCAGGACGTTGTACTACAGAATACTATTTTTTGCAAATTTGGAATTGGAATAAGATGAAACTAACTCAATATATCAAACTACGATAATGAATCAATTGAATAGTGAAAAAATTGTAGAGTTATCTACAATGAGTCCGAAAGAAATTGAATATAAAGAGCGCGTAAAAAATGGGCCGTTATACCTACATACCCAAATTTCGCTGTATTACGATTTCGCGGTATAATTCCTTGGACTGGTAAAGGGCGATATACTTTTTATTTTATTTCATTTCTAAATGGCGATGGCGTATGGTTCAGACCAACTAATATTGGTGTCTGAAAAATTCGAAACAATATTTCTACAATGTAAGTCACAACATAAAGTTTTGGAGAATTTAGCAGAAATTAAAATCAATTTCCTTCTCAATTATTCCGAGAATCGATGTTGCAGTTGTGGGTCTTTTGATTTAATCAGCAGAACATTCTCTGAAACCATTTCAAATATTCCGTTGAACAATTATTGCGAAATAAAAAAAATTAAAAAAGAAAAATCACTAAACTTTCAAGATGGGATATAGTTCAGATTTCAATATTTAGTTTGTGATTAAGATGATGTATATATATTTTTTGTTATGAGTGTATTTCATTTCGTGATATCTATAAATTTTTTTCATTTTGTTATGTTGATCATTTATACAGTTTATTTTGTTTGGTTTTGTGTGTGTATAAGGATTCAACGTTTTTTTTGCTTATTTATTCATCTATTGTTGTTCTGGGTATTTTGTTATTCAATTCGTTATATTTATTTTTATATCTCTCATTGTTGAGATACATATTTTTTCAATTATTTTTGTTAGGTTGTGTTCATATGAACTCCACATATTTTGTTCTTTTTAATTTTGATAGTTTCCAAATATATTCAAATCAAATTTTTTTCATGAATTTAACGTTATCATTCAATTATATACTCTTCAGCAGAAAATAATTGATCCCGAATAGGCGTTTTTGTGTAATAACACACTCGAGTGATAGGATTTCGAACGTCATCAAAGTGCGTCCTGATCATCTTTAGAGATAAACGCTGCTAAAACCCTTCGAGATAAAGTGGATGTGTATTATACCGATTTGTAGGCAATCAAATTTCCTACAAAAAAGTCAGTGACAGCATATATCCACAGTTGATAGGATTAGCATGGGAGGCGTCCGAACTTTTTGAACTATTCTGTAATGAACACCTGAATCATCGTTCTACTTGAATTGAAATATCGGTTTGTTGTTGGCCCTTGGGAATTTCAAAAAAAAACTCAGTCAATCTAGATACTATGCGAAATCTTTTCATGGTTGAATCATCTCTGTAAATTGAATATTGGAATTTTGGTAGCTGTTTGAAAAAGGACAATTCTGAATGGCGTCAATTAATTTTGATATGCCATATTTCTGAAATTAATGATCGTAAATCAGTGAAATTTGATTCATCTTCTGGAAAATTCATTTCTGCACATATTTGACCTCTTGATATTTTTCGCTAACTGTGACCGTTTTCCCGAGGTAAATCAATTAAACGGGAGAGACAATTTCCACTGCCTTGATTTTGTCCCTACTAGTGTGACGTCACGAAAGCGATGCTCCGGCCCGGTAAGATAGAGTAGGCCCTGATTCACGCCCCATTTTATATCGATCAGTCCCTGAATAAATAGTATTTGATGCTATCATTTGTTATTTCAAATAATCGGAAATACTTCTTTTCATTCATTGAATCGGCACCTTCGCCATTCGCCATCGTCGTTCGCCTTCTGGCACAGACAGCATAATCATATATTTCGGCGTTGCCAAATTCATTACTAGTAATTATCAAATGAGATTCCATCACCAATGACAACAGTATTTACTTCGCAAAAGGCAATATAGCTGGTACCTGATAATCACTCAGTCATAATAACCAAATATTCATCATTGTATTGGAACTCAAACTTTTTTGTGACTGGCAACAGCGCAATGCTAGAGTTCATACAAATATCGAATGAAGAAGAAGAATTATTCTAACCTAACCAACTAACGTCATTCTCGTCATCTTCAAAATCTACCATCTAGTCAATCCATAGTGAAATATAAGAAACACTACAAATATTCAAAGATAATCCTCAAATTATCTGATTCTTCATTTGTGTCTTGTACTCTCTGTTATCTGCAGTAAGTATTCAGTCTAGAAGAACGCATTTCAAGTTCTGAACGAAATGACAATCAGCAATATTCTTGCACTTGTCTTACAAAAATAGAGGATGGATACGTACGTCGAATTTTATATGGTTGCATTCAATTCTTCACGGATAATTACGTCAGTCATTTTCCCGCGTTTTTCATGTTATCAAATATCGTGAATTGCAATAATTATTTAAAAAATATACTGAGCTCTAAGGGAAAAATGGTATGCGACAGTGAACTAGTTAGAGGGTTAGTACTTATCGAAGTAATCATATGAAATTTTTTACTCATTATAAAAATGATGTTGCATAGTTGGCTGAATGCGCATATATTGAAATAAATAAAAACCTATTTGTAACAGTTTTAAATGATTAAAATGATACCAACCATAAATATTATAGTATCACATTAAAATTCATATAAAATAAAATATGTATTATCGAAGTGTCATATCACGAAACTCTTCTTCATATTCGTTCAGGGAACTTTGTCTGAGGAACGTTTCACCATATTGTTCAAAAAATTTGGTGTCTCCCTGGTTATCCACAGCTGGTATGTAAGTAGGTTTCACTTTTCTGTTGAGAATTTGGTCAAAATCTGTGCCTTTGAACCATTCATGTCCTTTAACATCTTTCGATCCAGCTTTTAAAACCCCAAATCTAGAATAGTATATTATTATATCAAAATCGAAGTTTAAAGTGACCTTTGACAAAAAAAAAATTCAATTCTGAATATTTCGTCATCTGAATTTTATGTATCACATTAAACTGACATGATTAAATTGAAATATGTTTTTTCCAAACTTTTCTGGAATTCACTAGGAATATGTGTTAGCATATTATTTAAGAAAACATTTTTTTCCTTTGGTACTATGCGGCATATGCAATTTTCACGGGAGTAGCAAAATGAAGATAATCAATCAGTCATCTAAATTTGAGAACCCTATTACCACCCCAAGAATGTTCTGAAAAAAATGTAAGGGGGTAATGATGGTTTCAACCCCTTCTACAATTTCTTTCAGGTTTCTTTGATTACTGAAGCACTTTTGTCAACTTAAATCCAATTTATTGTTTTTTTTGTTTCACTCATTTTCGAATAGATCGAGCGCAAAAATATTTATTTTTATGTTAACTTTTAACTCGTCTCACCCACACGTAGTGTTAGCGATTAGCCAGATGCCGGACGCCCTGTACCATTAAAAGCACAGAGCTACAGTTAGTGGTTACATAAGGTTTAGTCACCTATCTACAAATGACTGTATCCGATCAGGAGGCATAAGGTTGAGTCATTCTTATTTGAAGCGTTGTAGAGAATACATTGTGTTGAGTGTTAATAAAGGTGGAAGGTTTCAGAGGGACTGTTCTGTCAACCCTATACCAAGCAGTGCTAAGATCTCAGAAATGGGATCGAATTTTTTTTCCTCGTGCCATTCGTCATGCCAATACGAAGACTCAAGAAATTCTTCTAAATCATACAGCGAGTTCCCAGTGGCCTTCTACACTCATTGCCGAGTACTAAACTTGATTGTAGAAGTAGCAGTACAAGAAGCCGTACTAGAAGTCATGAATGGAGCCATACAAGATCCTCAAGAAGCCGTAGACGTCGTACACGGTTCCGTCAAGTAGGAAGTCGAACACGGAGCCGTAGGAACCGTATAAGGAGCCCTAGCAGACATAGTTCCATCAAGAACAAGCTGAAGGAAATCGTTTACGAGAGGTCAAAAAAGAAAGCAAAAAAAGAAAATACTAACGTGATGATAAACGAACAACTGATAGAGCTTCGGGTAAGTACAGCTTTGAATTCGCTTCGTGAACGTAGTAATGGAAATGCTTTGACAAGAGTAATACCAGAATTCGATCTGAAAGTAGAAAATATAATGACTGGGTCAAATTGATAGAATAAGATCATGCTATGTGTTATAAGTGGGACGAAAGCAACTTTAGACAGGTCTGCTGATTTATACAATCAGGGTATACGGACGAAAGCAACTTTAGGCAGGTCCGCTGATTTATACAATCAAGGTATACGGACGAAAGCAACTTTAGGCAGGTCCGCTGATTTATACAATCAGGGTATAAGGACGAAAGCAACTTTAGGCAGGTCCGCTGATTTATACAATCACGGTATACGGACGAAAGCAACTTCAAGCACGTCCGCTGATTTATACAATCAGGGTGTACGGACGTAAGCAACTTTAGGCAGGTCCGCTGATTTATACAATCAGGGTATAAGGACGAAAGCAACTTTAGGCAGGTCCGCTGATTTATACAATCAGGGTATACGGACGAAAGCCACTTTAGGCAGGTCCGCTGATCGATACAATCAGGATATACGGACGGAAGCAACGTTATGAGGTATTTATTTATAATATTTCACATCAAAATTTGTATGTTCCGATCTCAGATTACCAATATGCCTTGAGGACAAGACACAATACAGGATGGCCAGATGTTAGCGACTAGCCAGATGCCGGACGCACGGTACCATTAGAAGCACAGAGCTACAGTTAGTGGTTACATAAGGTTTAGTCACCTATCTAAAAATGACTGTATCCGATAAGGAGGCATAAGGTTGATTCATTCTTATTTGAAGCGTTGTAGAGAATACATTGTTTTAAGTGTCAATAAAGGTGGAAGGTTTCAGAGGGACTGATACTGTTCTGTCAACCCTATAACAATCAGTGCTAATAGTAGTATCTACTTGGTAATGGTAATGGTAAGAAATTTATTTTCTCTTGAACAAGACCATGTTTGATACTAAAAAGGGCACTCCTGGTGGTAGAAGAGGATGTATAATAAACATCTATTTTATGGATTGAAATATTATATGATAGGTGATTTATATACAACCAGAAATTTAATATCCTATTGCCAATATGATATACTATTCAAAACTCCAAAGTGGTATATTTTTGCCACTACAGTAATAAAGAATATATAATAATAAATTTGAGTTATTTTCAGCTGGAATGTTTCTTACCTCTTAGTTCTATCGATTTGCAAAATATTTGACATGAGATCTTTCAAACTTTTGCTAAAGTGAGGAGGACATGCGAATTTTCCACTAACGATTTTTTCATAAAGTTTCATGTGATCTTTCGCAAAGAACGGAGGAAATCCAGCAGCCATTTCATATATCAGGATACCCAGAGACCACCAGTCGACAGAAAAATTATAACCCTGACTGAGAATAATTTCTGGAGCCAAATACTCAGGAGTACCTATAAATTTAGAATCATTTTTAGTAGTTAGTAGATTAGGAAATAACTATACGTTAAATATTCTTGAAGAAAAAAGAACTGTTTCCTCATTATTAATAAGAAAATAATTATTTGGTACTCACCACAAAGTGTGTATGTTCTCTGACTATCAATTTTCTTGCAAAATCCCAAATCCGTTACTTTCAAATAACCTTCCAAATCGATCATTATATTTTCAGGTTTCAAATCTCGGTATACTATTCCCATAAAATGAATGAATTCAAAAGCGAGGATCACTTGTGCAGCATAAAACTTGCACAGATTCTCGTCAAATTTTTTATTGTTTCTCAAGTGATAGAACATTTCTCCGCCGCCTATGAAAGCCATGACCATGAACACATATACATTGTTCTTGAAGAAGTACTCCATATCTGTTATGTGAAATTAAATAATATAAAAACATATATAAATGCAATCCTAAACCAGGGTTGATAATTTTTGAAACAAACTAGAACAATAGACGGATGAAAATTATTGAAAAAGGAAAAATATATAACAAAAATGAAAGAAGAAATGATTTGCGGGCAATCTGAAGTCAAGAAGGAGAAGGGGGTGAGTTTTCAAGGTTAAAAACGGTTTACCTCGATTTCCAGCAAGACTACAAGTCTGATGGAAAAAAGTTGAATGGCAAAGTTGTAGCTAATGAACAGATCTATTAATTTTTCATCGACACATTCTTCACATAACCTCAAAATTTATATGAAATATTCAAATTACCAAGTTTTTGGTTTTTTATTTTTATCTTTTTCAAAAAGAATTATTTCTCACTCTCTCAATGTAGAGAAAACTTCACCTATGTATATCCCAAATACAGTCGTGTGTTTTTTTTATATAAAATATTAATTTTTTCACCTTATTTTGACTAATTTTCCAACGAAAATTTTCAAAGTATCAGCTTTATTTAAAAAGTCGATGGGCTTTTTGTTAGTTGGAATCTCTACTTTCTGATGATGTAAAAAAATACATCACTATGGTGAATGTTCTCAGAAAATGCTTGAAAAATATAGGAGAAAATATTAAAACAATCCACTAAGTACCTATATAGCGTGGACTGACTGACAAAAATAAATTGAGAAGAATTCAGCCGTTTTCAAGTTTTTTGTAGAAAACTATTTTCATTTTCAACTTCACAACTTCAACAGCTTCTGAATCTAACCACTGGAGAACCTAATACGTTATTGTTATTCCTTTCTCATATTTTTATCAATCACGAGGACTATCAGGAAGTCAGTCGGGTAAAACTGCATTTATCATGCGATGGTTTTTTTTCAAAAATTTGGTTTGGTACTTACGTATTGTGTCGTGTCGTACATTGTGATATATATAAATTGTCCAATGATGAAAAAAGAAGGGCAAATTGTTCTAAATGCGATCCAGAACACAGTGAAATATCCTAGTAAATAATGGTTTCTTCACATTTTCATTATCAAATTCGTGTTTTTCAGACAAAAATACGTAAGTACCAAAAAAAAACATTGCATGATAAATGCAGTTTTACCGTCAGTCGAATTTCGCGACAACAATAGGTAAATATTTGAGAAATGTCAACTTACGTACTATAAAAGGAAACCTGATAGCGTCTAAAAATCTAATCTCGGATATGGTATGGGCAAGCTGTTTAGTCCGCATTATATTAACTTTTTCCATTACTTTCATTGCGTACAATTTGTCTCCGTCCTTGTACTTGCACATCACCACTCTACCAAAGGAACCAGTACCGAGAGTTTTTGTTACATTGAAATCTTCATAATTGGCATTCGGTTTCAATTCATCTTTCAGTCGGGCTTCAAATTCTTTTCGGGATTTTCGCAGATATGATTCGAAAGATAAATAATGTTTCTGAAGCTTATCGTCCCCCATGCCAAATTTGACTTTTAATGTCAGGACTTCATTTTTTCATGATGTCTAGTCATTCAATTATGGAGGATACTGAGGGTGTCTAATAAAAATGTAGACAATCTCCCAAATCGAAATAATTGGGTTTTTACAATCCCTCGCTGGAAATACTCACCCCCTTACCTTTTTCAGGTTTTTTTTTGTTGAATGACATTTTTGCAATGTTGATGCCATATATTGTGGATGATGGATTTTTTCACATGAAGGTTCTTGTTTCATTTTAGAGTGAATCCGATTCGAATTAACATAAATGCATACAAAAAGTTCGTGTATCAATAATCTATTTCTGCCATTTGTTATTCCGACCTCCTTGTACGAAAATTCAAACTCATTTTTCCTTGGTAGTATTGGGCATGAAATAGTATATTATTAAACAAGCATATAATGAGGGGTATTATTCACGAATGACAATGATATATACAGGGTGTTTCAAAAAAACCTATCCCCCTTTCTAGGGTAGGTAGAACATTGCGAAATTAGTTGGGTTTGTTCAGTAAAAAAATGTCGTAATGCCATCCGTTTTCAAGATACAAGGTGTTGAAAAAATGATTTTTTTACATATTTTTCAAGATTTTGTCGAAACTACTGACAACATTGTGATGAAATTTTGTATGGATGTTTCTTAGAATCTGACACATCGCATGCATTCGTTTTTATATCTGACTCTCATAGAGGGCGCTAGTTACACGGTTCGTACCGAGTAGTTTTGAACTTTTGAACATAACTTTTTTGAGGTTAGATTTTTCAATCCGAATTTGATGTGAACTTGAACATCATTTAATTTCACACCAAAAATACATTCTCAAAAAAATAACATAGAATCGTATATTCCTCGAAACGTAGGACATTTTGAACACTTACTCTAACTGATTCAATATTTCATGTTTCTAGTCAAATATCTCTTAATTTTTACTTATGATTCTTTGTTCCATCAATAACTTCAGCACAAGAATAATTTCATTGTTTTTGAACCTGAATAAATAGGTAATTGAACTCAATGAAATTCATTTTATACCAGCAACATTACTACTCCATTATTTTCAAATCGAGATATTCCGAAAACGGAACATAGTATCGAGTTTCACCAGGAGTACCTTTTTGGTGTAAAATTGAATGATGTTCAAGTTCATATCATATTTGGATAGAAAAATCTAACCTCAAGAAAGTTATGTTCTAAACTACTCGGTACGAACCGTGTAACTAGCGCCCTCTATGATAGTCAGATATAAAAACAAATTCATGCGATGTGTCAGATTTCAAGAAACATCCATACAAAATCCCATTACAATGTTGCCAGTAGTTTCGGAATAATCGTGAAAAATGTGTGAAAAAATATATTTTTCAACACCTTGTATCATGAAAACGGATGCCGTTGCGACATTTTTTCACTGAGCAATCCCAACTTATATTGCAATGTTCTACCTACCCTAGCAAGGGGGTTAGGTTTTTTTGAAACACCCTGTATACTTTGACATCCGGTATACAACATAACCTAACCTGCTTATTTCTCGAAATGGAAATTATGAAGAAGTTTACTTTTTCTAGTCAAAAAATGAAAGAAGATTTATAATTGATTCATAATTCATTGTGACGAATATTCAGTATTTGCTAGGTTTCCTGAAATTTCAAACGAGGAATATAATGTTCAATTGGATTGAAGTAGGTTATTTTATTATCATATGTATTACCTCGTATATCAATTTGGGAAGTTTTGGAAATTGAATGACAAGATTTCTCCTTGAGGATCCCCAAAATAGAATATACAAGGTGATATACCAAGATTGACATGGAATTTGTATTCAATGAAACTTGGAGGCGTTTATACACTGTGTCCATAAAGTCACCCCCCCCCTGGTTAACTATTGAACGGATGGGATTTTTTTTTTCAATTTTTTTTTGCTTCAATGGTAGTTTCAGTGCTACAGGTGCCCAGGCGCCATTTTGGAAGATTTTTTTAAATGAAGTGGGGGGTCGAAAGATACCTCGATTGAAAGGTCTTTTACTTCTCTATACAACCTCAGAATCTCAGACGAAAATATTCATCCAAAACAAAATGGCGGATGATAACGTTTGAAATCTCACACCAGAATTCTTTGGACTAGATGGCTATTATAAAGTGCTCGCATGTGATCTTCAAATCTCTATTGGCGTATAGAAGAGTTCTCTATCTATGAAGATATCAATAGGAAGTCATTTTGAAGAGAATAACATAGTAGTCAATTATTACCTCTGCTCGATTGCCTTCCCAAATTCTGCAAAATTTTAGAAATATTTATTCAAAATAAAGAACAATGTTTATTCCACGTGACTACCATGTTATTCTCTTCAAAATGGCTTTCTATTGATATCTTCATAGATAGAGAACTTTTCTATACGCCAATAGAGATTTGAAGATCACATGCGAGCACTTTAATAGCCATCTAGTGGAAAGAATTCTGGTGTGAGATTTCAAACGTTATCATCCGCCATTTTGTTTTGGATGAATATTTTCGTCTGAGATTCTGAGGTTGTATAGAGAATCGAAAGACCTTTCAATCGAGGTATCTTTCGACCCCCCACTCCATTTAAAAAAATCTTCCAAAATGGCGCCCAGGCGCCATTTTGGAGGATACATTTTTTTTTTGGAGCAATATGTAGCAATGAAACTACCATTGACGCAGGAAAAAATTGAAATAAAAAATCCTATCCGTTCTAAAGTTAACCAGGGGGGGGGGGTGACTTTATGGACACAGTGTATAGATTTATGTGATATCTCAATGACTACTCTTACTCATCTCTGTTGTTGTATATCACACTGAGCAATATCCTAATGATAAGTGAAGAGTCATATATAGTTGATGAATCAAATACATTTATAAACTCTCCAAGTTTCTTTGAATATGAATTTCATCGAACTTGCTGCATCACCCGGTATATTCTTTCCTTTGTTTTCTGTGGTATCTATAGTTTCCTTCCATTCATTCTTGAACACCATACAAGTCAATCAATGTGTTTTGCTGGGTCTTCTTGTAATAATATCTATGCATTTATATTGTAAAAACACTGTGATCATGGACGTAACGTCCATGACTGTGATACATACAAACTCAATAACGCATCAAAGAAAAAATCTGTGGAAATAGAGCTGCAACAAAGAATATTTCTGGTCTGAAGTACAAAATATCACATTTTTCGAAAAAAAAAAAATGTTTTTCTCAATACCTGAAGAAATGAGGAAAAAATGGCAGCACCATTTCGAGGAATTTGCTTGAGCATTATGAAAATATAATTGAAAAAAATTCCGAAATATTTTCATCAAATTGGGAGCATAGAAAAGTATTCATTATTTTGCAGAGGTTTATTGTGACCCTGTAAAGCCTGATATGTTACCATGTATTTTTATCAGCGGTCTATCTGTCATATACCCAATGAATTTATCTTCAAAATTAAAACAGCCGCATCCGAATATCTGGATTACCGCAAAAATATTAAATGATGAATCTAGTGCAAAAATGTGCGGTTCAATTGATCAGCAGTTCGTTAATGTTTCCTCAAGCCATTTTTCACTTATTTAAGAATTTCACATCCCAACCCGAAGGCCGATGGCACAATGAAGTATCTATAAAGTGTAGTTTTTTTATTTTATTTTCTACATTAAAAACAAGGCAATTTAGAGAGATCAGGAAAACTATCAATCTGCACGTCCCGAGCAACTCGCCTGTGTTAATTACGAGAAGGTCATAGTCTTATTAGGAACATATGGGTCGCCAGCGATTTCCATCATGCTTGTGTAAATCTTATCACCATCCCCCCCAAGACCACTCTACCTTTGGGACCCTCTTATAAATAACCTGTGATGTGTGTGACGTATTTATTCACACTTAAGCATGTTAATATAGGTTTTATTTATACACAAACCTATACAATGTATCAGGAGATGAAATGAATAAATAGATTTCAAAAGTAGAGTGCAGCAAGAATTGAGAACGTTAATAATTGATAATTCTTTTTTATTTGTTATTGGTGCCATTCATAAGTTTGAGATATATTTGTATTCAATTCAATTCCATCACCCTCTGTATAGTGATGGAATAGAAATACTATCAACATTTCATTTGTTAGGAAGTATGATGATTTGGGTGATGGAAAATAATTAAGTATAAGGTCAAGTCAAAAATATGAAAAATTTATTCTATACAAATACATATACCTAATACAACTAATTAAAGTAATATAGATTAAATAAAAATAAATACTTCTGATAGTACCTACTTGCTATATAAGAGTATAAAACTTTGAATTTGTAAATTTCTCAAAATGAAGTTGAATTCTCTCTTGGAATTAAAGTGTATCCAGCCATAATTTTTCACTGTATAGCTACTAGGTATATCATTTTGCAATAGAAATATGAATGAAGCTAAATATGCTCCTATAAGTACCTATGTCATTGCCTCTAATAAAAGCATCAATCCACCTAATAGTAATTATTTCTGAACAATGTAATGGATATGTCCACTATTAGTATTGGAAGCAGAATCCAGAATGGTAACAGTACATGGTAAACTTGCAAATTCAAAGATTTGTATTCCAACTTCAGGCAAAGAGTAACTTGGGCAGCGATTTTCAATAGCACAATGGCTACAAGTAGGATGTTTTTGTTCTTGAACAAATTTCTGATACTGTCTTGTTTGCAACGTATGAATATGTTGAATAAGGCATCAATAAGAAGTATCATATCATAGAGCCACATGGGAATGAATATGAGAAACCAATTCCAATGTGTGCGGGATTCCAATCTTAAACAAAGTAGTATGAAGAACACCAGAAGCATAAACCAGGTGAAGAGAGCTCTATGCATAACCATATTGATATTTGATGTTTCTATTTATCTCATCATGTGGGCTTTCAACATTTTGTTTACAATGTAATTCGTTTCGAATTCACTCAACTTCATTTCCTGATATCCAAACTTTTCTGCATGATCCTTTCTGTAATTCTTTTTACATGTTATGATACAAATAA